ATACTCAAATGTCATTATCCCTGCCTGTGTCAGAGGTTCCCCACCTAGCCTGCCCTTGGGCGACATGTTGCCCTCGTCAAACCCCCGGCAACCATATTCATATCCTGATTCTTTGCAAAGGCACAGTCTAATGCATCCTTAACATGATGTATATACTCAATTTGGCACAGCCCTCCCAGTTGGCCCTCTGCTCAAGGAAAGTCAACATTGTTTGCCCCATAGCTCATGCTACGCTCGCTTGCTCCGCCCCAAATTCTGTGCCCTCATACCTGGGGGTATGCTGGATAGATTGTATATACTCAATTCCGAACATATGCCCTCAAAGAACATTGGGAAGTTATGCTCCTCCTCATCTGCGCACTTTTCCCCCCTGCCAAGCGCCCATTTCTGATCCGACTGTTCTGAAACTTTGTACATACCTCAATATAGTGTATTGCTACCCCTCAACGAGTTTTCAAAGCCCCAATCCAAGGGAATATGCAGCAATGCACCAATATAGGTGCAGCCGCTTCCCAGGGCTGTAGCTCCAAAACCGGTCCGCCGATTTTGCTAATATTCTGCACAGGGCCTCTCCTATATGATATGTACATGCTCCTGAAATATTGGAGCGAAATTCCAACCCTGCTCTGTGAGACCTCTCCCCAGAATGAGTCTAGATCGATCATCTGACTGAAGTGTTCACACCTTTACCGCGACTCACGAGGCAGGTTGGATCGGACTCGAACATCGCCGCACACAACGCAATGTGGCTTGTCGCGCTTCTTCCTGCTCATCCACGTCCTACACATCCCCCTGTGTCCCCTTTCTCCATCCCTCCCCATGCCGTGTTACGCTGTCAACGAAGATGGGACACCCTGCACTTGCTCTCAGTATACAAAGCACGCAAGGAAGAACAAGTGTCGTACCTGTAGTCACTCCTCCGGGATGCACACCGACAGCTCCGGTCCTGGTCTAGGCAAGCGCGCTGCAGAGGCAGAGTCAGTCGCCGATGTCATCAACCAAACTTCCTCGAAGATGTTTGGTTCAAGTAGCGGTACACCTGCAGCTGTGGTGAGACATTTTCCCTGATCCTTTCAAACGGTGCTCGTGCTTACCTCAACGCAACGCTACTCAGCCTCAGGTCACGGATGCCGAGGCAAGGCTCGAAGCACTCGAGAATTACCGGCCGGTGCTACCACAGACGACATTTCCGACGCTGCAGATGCCACAGGCAGGGGGTGCCCGTGCTAAGCAGCCCGTAAGTCATCATTGACCGTTGTCGCCCCTCAACATTTACCTCAACTCAATCTTGTTACCTAGAGAAAGGATAGCGGGTCATCCAGTTCATCAAAGAAGAACAAGAAGTCAGACAAGGCTGTATACGAAAAGCTCACCTCTCTCGGGTCGCTGCTGATACACCCGGGAGGGTTGCTCAGAAAGGTTAGCCCTGTCTCTGATATATGCGAGCAGTCACTTACTTGTTTTGATTGTAGGGAGATGGTGCACCTGCGACGGACCTACGAGTCACTGAGCACCCGTCTGTGGATCAGCAAGAGGAGCTTGGAGAGTATGGGATGTTCCTTACTGAAGATCCTGAACATCAGGACGGCCATCTTCACTTCAACCAGACCTGGTCTCCTGAAGCTGTGGATGTGTGGGTGCGCCGTCTAGCTCCCAAGCTGTTCGCCTACATGGACGCCCGCTATGGTGTTCGCATGGGGCCGGGCCGCGAAGAGTTTCACTGGGTTCTTGCGCGTCGTAACCGTGGCATGCTCGTGCGGGTGAGGAAGCCCACGGCGGTCAATGGTGCTGACTTGCATCGGGTCAGAGGTACCGGACGGAGTGTCAATCACTACGCCATTTTTCTCGGTAAGCTAATCTTCGCTGCTAAAGCAGGCTGCCACTTACCTGGATTGTTGTACTTCGCTAGTGACACGGGACTATATCCCACCCGCAATCTATCGTGACTTCGACGAGGCTACAGCAGGCATCCTGGATGGCACGCTGAACCTGAACGACCCAAGGTTCTCTGACAGACCTGGAGAGGACTCACCGCAATCTGAGCCCGATGTTCTTGACGAGGACAAGGCGGCCGAGATGCTGTACGAGGAGAGCAGCTCTAGTTCTTCTTCCGAGGATGAAGATCCGACGACCAGGAACTCAAATGCTAGATACGGTGGACTCCCGGTCCCGCGTCCAGCCACGCCGCAGCGTCAGAGTGCGCCCATGCCGAAGGGAAAAGGAAAGGCAAGGGCAATCATCCTGAGTAGTGATGAGGAGACTGTCGAGCAGCGTGGGCCGCTGACGCGCGCACGCGCTGCTAAGACTGTACCAGTGAGGGCCACTGTTGGTCAAGGAGGCGAGCCGTCGCGGAAGCGTGCACGATCTGAGAGCACTGGAAGGGATGTGGACGGCGAGTCGGCGAAGGCTAAGCGAGTGCGCTTGGAGGCTCCAGCCCACGGTAAGCTTGCTTTTGTCGGTGAGCAGCTTCTCCTAACACAGCTAACATTTGATAAGATATATTTGAAGCTGAGATGGACGATGATGAGAAGTATGAAGAGCTCGATGTAGCAAGCAACCTCTGGCCGGACGATATGACGCCGTCCTCACCGGCGCCTCCGACACTCCCACCCTTTACCTCGACCACGACCATCTCGCCGCCCGTCGCCTCCTCCAGCACGTCTGCCGCTACACACACGTCCCCTCACGCTTCCCCAGTTCCGTCTCCCACCCGTCTCGCTCCTGCAGCTCCTGCCACGCCTCTTCCTTCCTCGTCTGGTGCTGGTACCTCTCGTGCTCTCAGCGGTGGCACCCGGGAATCGCTGTCTCCCATGAGCAAGTATTATCTTGACCGCGCTGCAAGAGGCCTGCGATCGCCCGGGAAGCTCAAGCGGAGCCTGTGGGATTAGGTTCATGCGACCAATGTTGCGACACGCTAGGTCTGTCTTTACTTGTGTTATGCGATCACTTCCGACATCCATCCGATCCCTACTCCAACTCCTACGTCCGTCCCCTCCCTTGATTCCTCAGTCAATACCCTATCTATTGGGACATCCTAATCTCGACCCACGTAGCATATCCCCTTATATATCAGTATAGCTCTTTTAGTTCCTCGCTCGATACTGCCTCCTCCCCTACATCCCGCTAGTCTCTCTTATCATCACTTAATGCATCCACAGTAGATTGTTATACTTACTACGCCTTATATTGCTCCGACTCGTCGACATGGACGTTCTCCTTACCTTACTCATTTCCGGTTTGCTTACAAGTGATAATGTCAATGTGAAGTCAAAATACTTGTCTGAAGCCGGGATTCAGTCCCTCGACATATAATCTTCCGTACGAACCATGAGTATGCTCAGCTACTTCCGTGCAACTGTGATCTTTGAGTTAAATGCGCGCGGTGAGGTTTAAATTTAGCGACACTTTGCGTGCTGCGTAAGGTAGTAAGTTGCGGAGTACTAAGTAGTAAGTTATGCTTTCTAATGAGGATAAGTGTGGCAGTGCGCTGCGTAAAGGGGACTATGCGCGCAAAACAATAAATGTACAAACGGGCCGTCATAGGTGACACTCGGACCTCTCACTTAACACTCACACACCCCCGACTGCTCGTCCTGACACATCGCATTCCATTCCGTTCCACACGACAAACAAAATCTCACAAAGTCCGGTGCAGAAGACGAGCAAGGCCACGGCAGCGCGCGCGCGCAGAATAAGCAAGGAAAAAGTACACTAAGGTAGGCGACTACTAATACTACGTGAAACGGGATAGGCATGCAACGGGCGCAGGAGATCGGAGCATTCGACGCGAGAGCAAGCGAGCGTGGCGGGAGGGAGAGTCCGTGCGGTAGAAATACAATGCGGTGCAGTTAGTACGCGAGCTGAGCCCCTACGAGAAGTCCGACGGTGAACCCTAGTTAACGAGCGGCGGGAGAAACGACATGAAGAGCAGACAATAGGATGTACAGAAGAGGAGGCGCGCCGGCGTGTAGGACTACGGCTCGTGCCCGGTGAGGGACACGCGCGACTCGTTCCGCGACGTCGACGTCGAGAACACCGGCTCGAGCGCGCGCGGGGACAGCAGCGCTGGTGACGCAAGTGGCGACGGCGGCAGCGCGCGGTCAGAAGGCGACAGCAGCGGGGACGGCAGCCCCAGCCCCGCGCTGCTTCCCGCGCTCCCGAGTCGTCGACTGCGCCCTTGCGTCCCGACGCCCGCCATGCTCACTGGTCGCTCGACCTCGTTGCGGTCGAACGGGAACCCGAACTCGGCAATATCCGAGTCCTGCGGGTTCGAGTACGAGCGCGTGTGCGAGAGCAGAGGTGTCGCGGAGCCGGGTCCGCCGCTCGGCGTCCGGTGGTGCGCGAGTGGCGACGCGGGGCCGTACGACGTTCTGCGCGCGGCGGGCGGTGGCGAAGCGGGGGTGTACGATGCGCGACGCGCGGTGGGTGGAGGCAACGCAAGCGTCTCGGAGCCGAAGGGGAGCAGCGGACGGCCGTCCGTGAGCGTCGTCTCGCCCCACGGATCGCGGAAGGTGTCCTCGCGCGGAGACTCGCGCCCGGGCCCCTTCGCGTTGAGAGCGCCGAATTCGTCCGGCGCGTTGTCGTCGTCTCCGACGCGCGTCGTCGTGCTGTCCGTGTACGACGACTCCATGTCGCGCCGCCGCTTGTACTCCTCGTACCGCTTCATGCGGAGCTCGTCCTCGGAAGGCGCGCTCGAGTGGCTCTTGCGCGACGCGGGGCGGTACCCGAGCTCGTTAAGGACGTACGAGCCCTCCTTCGAGTCCGCGCCGATGCTGCCGTCCCGAGGCCCGGCGCCCGCGCGCTTCTCCGTGAGCCACTTGCGCTTCATGTACACGAGCCGCGCGCCGAACAGCACGAAGCAGAGGCCAAAGAACCCGACGAGGCCGATGAGCACCTCGATGCCCACCGACAAGCCCTTTTTGGGTGAGCTCTGCACCGAGCCTGCACTCGTCGTGCCCGACCCACTGCCCGACGTGATCGGTTGACGGAGGACACGCACCTGGTGGAACTCGGCGGCGGCGGTCGCGGGGTCCGTGAGCGGCATAAGCCCGAGCCGGGGCTGGACGCGCGACGAGGCCCCGGTGTTGTTTGGGAAGACCCCAGCAGAGTTGGGCGTGTCGTAGCCGAGGACGGTGTAGGTGTTGCGGAGGAAGGGGACGCCGAGGACCATATCGGCCTGCGTGAATGTGGCGCCGATCTGCGCGGGCGTCTGAATCGCGCCGATGCAGTTCTCGGCGGAGGGGTCGTCGGACGGGTAGAAGGTGAGGTCGAGAGGGTGGATGGGGATCTCGGAGCGGTCGTCGAGCGTGATGGACATGTTGAGCGGCTGGTTACACGGAATGTAGACTGTAATGCAAGTCAGCTATGACGCATACACGCAAGGACTGAAAACATACCAGTGCCGTCGGCTGCGGGAGAATAGCCCATCGCGCCGTAAATACCGTAGGCGAGGGCGGGCGACGCGACGATGAGCGGTACGCCGGTGTCGAGGATCGCGGATGGCTGGCCTCGTGTGCCGGTCCCGGACTGCGGGAGCGAGACGACCTTCGCCTGGCCGTTGACGTACACGGTGATCTGGCGGACATTCGCCTGCCACCACAACGAACCAGCTGATTCCGCGACGACCGACGAGTACTGCACTTTTGAGGGGTCGGGGACAAGGCCCGCCGGGTGTCGACCGATTCCAAGCGTCGACGACACCCTGTCGGAGCCGGGTCGCTCGAGGGCGACGGAGAGGAAACGTGCAGAAGGAGCGGTGCCCGTGGGGGTTATTCCGAATATGTTGGAGGTGATGGCCGCGCCGTCGGGAGCATCAGACGTGGTCGGGGGTATCTTCTGGGCGATGACTGAGTTGAGTGGTAGCGCGAGGCCCAGCACTCCGACGAAGCTGGATGACAGGGGTTCCGCGTTTACAGTAGACGCGGCAACTGAAGATGAGTGAGTAACCGTGAGCGCAACAGTGGTGATGGATGGACGTACTCAATGCTTGATGGTCGATGCTGTAGCCGCCGAATTGGACGGCATCCCAGACGACGGGGCCGGTCGCCTCTCCCTCCGCGTAGTTTACAGTGGCGGTCTGACCGGTGGGTAATGACTGCGACGAGTCGTACTTGCCGCCGCCGACGCCGTTGCACGCGGACGTTGAACAAGATGTCGATGCGAGCCACTGGGAACCGTCAGCGTGGTGCGCGCGGCAATAAAGGGATGTCCTTACGAGATCGGAAGAACCAGTGTCGACTTGGAGAAGATACTGGTTGTGATTAGGGCCGACGAGTACGGGCGCGACGTAAACTCTGCATGAAGGGCGTGAGCAAATTCCACACGCGCGAGTGGTAAATGAGACGGGGGCGGAAGACATCACGCCACGGAAGATGAAAGCTACTCCGCACGCGCCTGGACTATGCTCTGGATCTCGCGTAGCGTGCGACGGCCGCTCTATTGCTGCGCTCGCGATGAGCACGTACCTGCGCTGCGTGTGCGTAGTCGCAGAGGCGGCGAGGGCGCATACAGTTGGCTCGCGCACGAGGGCGACAGCCAGAGAGGTCGACGAGGGCGCAATAAACAAGATGTAGACCGCGTCTGCCAGCAAGAGAGGCTGAGATGTCTCTCTAAACCCTCCCCCAAGATGTGAGCGACGAATCGTCGTTCATTCTTGTACGCGCAGGTTCATTCTTGTGGGATCGACTTGGAGGGGGTGATAGCGAAGGACAACCACGGGCAGCGGCTGACGCGCTGCAAACACCGCGTTCGTGCGTACAGATGCCGTTGCATACGGTGGATTGTCGGACGGTGACGGCGTTCGCGCGCGAGGAGGACGGAAGCGAAGACAAAAGTAGGTACTCACGACTGGTATGCGGACTCTGAAAGAAGCTGGAGGGGAATGACGATCCCGTCTGTCCCGCCTGTGCCCTCATCCCGCGCATCCAGACGAGATCCGCCCGCCACAGCCCGTTCCTTTCCTTTCCAAACACGCGCGTCAGGCGTGTTGGCCGCGAGAAGGTGCATGCCAGGGGTGCCGGTCGGTCGTCAGTGGTGCCGGGGGAGCGAGGGAGATGGGAGAGCTGAAGGAGGGTGAGCAAGGGGCAGATGGAGGATCGTGGGGGTAGAGATGGAGAAATAAGGAATGGACGGTCATGGGAGAGAGTTGGACGAGCGCAGGAGGCCCTCCAACGCCGCCCCCGGAATTCCCTCTCAACTCAGATCTCACTCTAGATCCAGGATCGAGATCGCTGCCCGCCCCTGCCTTCTCCCGCCCTCTCTCGCCTTCCTTCCCTCCTATTCCATGTTCTCCTAGTTCGCGCAGCTCAGCTCTTCGCTTTCGAGCACCTTGCCAGCACGCCGACTACCCCAGACTGTGTTCCTGGACGCGAAGGAGGAGAACGGGCGGGTGAGCGAGGCCGGGGCGACACCCCGCTTAGCGGCTAGGCCGATCTGCCGAGGAGAGTAGCACCGCCTCCTCCACATCGTCCAACCCTTCGTCTTGGCAAAAGTGCATTTCCTCGTCGATCCTCCCGACCCTCGCCTTATGGGTCCCCGTCCCCTCTTCTCCATCCCCCGCACCTCCACTTCCCGCCCACGATCACTTCAATTACTCGCGCTAGCTCCCACAAAATGCTACGACTGCCCGCCAAGGACAGGCCGCTGTCGCGCGGACGGCCACGAGTGACCCTCCCTGATAAATGCCGCCACTCCGGGTGTGCCCGACCGAACCGGACCCGGCTTCCTAGCGCCCTCTCCTCCGCCGTGCCACACCAAACTACCACCGCCGCACTGCCCCCGCATCTTATCGCAAGTCGCGAGCCAGACCAGTCGCTGCCGCCCGAGCTGATGCAGCACTCATCCAGCAGATCGCAGCACATCAAAAGTCACGGTATACGAGACGACGACCACCACGCAATGTCACTCCCGGCGTTGTCCTTCCCGCGACCGTCGTTCACGACCGTGACCGAAAACAAGCGACAACGCGCGGACACAACTCCTCCGCCTGTCGCAAAGTCTACATCTTGACAAACCATTTGTCGCGGAACTCTCGGTATTCGTTGTCACGGACATTCTCCCCGCTGTTTTCGAGGTAAACGCCTTGTTCTCAACGTACGCCGCCATCACTGATACTTATCCTTCCGCAGCGCCAGCACGTACAAACATGCCGCCTGCATACGCCCCGGCACGAGCTCATTGCTCGGCCACCACTCCCCGCTCTCCGTTCCACTCGCGCCCTCCGACTCCGACATGCACCGGCGCGCCGTCCGGCACTGTAAGGAGGCGCAACGGCCTCGACGCATACGTCCGTACACGTTCGAACCTTGTCGAAACTCGTTCGAATCGCCATGCTGACTGTACGACGCAGCCTTCTCGGACGCCAGCGCTCTCGACGCGCCCATAATATGCGTTCTTGCCCCTCGCACGAGGTGTGCATATTTCCGAAGACAACTCAGCGAACTCCGACCACACTCGGAGAACTGTACAAGGTTCGGCGCAGTGCTGCAGGACCGAGTCCAGACGCGCCGAATCAATGCCGAACTCGGCGCTATACCACCGCGCCCATACGAGCGTTCGTGCGCCGCCTTGACCCTTCCCCTCTGCTCAAGCCTGTGCAGATGAGCGGGAAACGGGCCGTGAAGTCTGCGTTGCGCCGTCGCGTCTTGCTACGCCTCGTTCGGCGGATAGGATCAGCGGTGTATGCGTCGAGCAAACGCCGGTTTCTGTGTCGCGGAAGCTCCCAGGCTGTGGTTGGGAGTTCGACTGGGGCGGTTCTCTGCGCACCACGTGGGCTTCGCAGCGTCGACGGAGCGCGCGTATGTGTGTACTAGACGCAGTGCCTTGCGACGCACGATAGCACGGTGGAAACAGAGTTGGCGAAGCCGAAGATGGATGACGACGCCGTCATTTATTGCGTCCGCTATACCCGTTGTACGTGCTCACGCCCTCTCATTATTATCGCGACCAAGTCTGACCCGCCGAGTCTCGCCACAGCGCCATCCCGAGATTCCTCTCTCCCCGCGGGATTACCCGTCTCGCATCGCACGCCCCTGGAGATACATGCAACACGCGCACGCAACGATATCGGTGCTACGCCCTACACGATCGCGCAGCACGGCCTCCTATGGCGTCCGTGGGCTTCAATGGCCGCCCCGCGGAGATCGTGCCTTGCTGACGGCTGTAGTACAGGCTCAAACACTGTCAACATGTCCGCACGACATTGGGCCAGGGCAGAAGACGTGCGGACGGAGGTTCGCGGAAGGATCATGGGTACGTTCCGCGCAACAGTCAAGTTCTCATCTGCAGAACCTTCTTACTTCTCGCTTCTAGTCTTGTCACGCCATGCCCTCCGTCGTCGCCTTCATCGAGCCAGCATGTCCGCCGAGCTCTACGGCTCATCCGTAGTCCCCAACACATCTCCTGCCAGTGCGGCAGACGCCGTCGACGTGTATAGCAAACCCCGAGCGAAGGCTCTGTTCTCGACTTACTATACAAGCCGGTGCGTCTTCCGAAGCGTCCTCCCTCTCCGAGTCCTTATGCACGACTTACGGTGAGCCGGAGAGATCCCCGTGATGTCGCTCGCGCGGCATATTCCACTTCCAGTATCACCTGAATGGTGCAAAGACGAAGAAGAGCTTCGCCGCCGTCATGGAATCTGCCTCGAGTGCGAGCATGACGGCCGATATTATCCAACGTTCAGGTAAGTAGACTCCCGCACCCGTCTGCGTTCCCATTGGCAAGCTCCTGTCAACCGACCACGGACGACGATCACTCCTGCTGCTCGCTCGCTGTCCCCGTGTGTAGTCCACTGACCCACTCCTCCGCAGACGTCCCTCCACAAATATTTCGCATCAGCCGCAATACGTTGGTCTCAAACACTGTACCTCGTGTCACGTCAAAATAAGCAACATCGACCTGACGTCTCTTCCACCGCTGCGCCGGCGTGCCATTCATGTATATCCCACAATATCTGAAGGCGCGGGCCGCCCCAGACGCGCACCACGCACCTTGGGCTTTAACTCGCGCCAAGGCGGGTCCTGCGCTTGAGAATCAGGTACGGTCCTCCCAACATACGCCCTTAAACTGCTCGGTAACCATCAGGTCTACCGGAATCAGGGACGACGAGGGCCCGGTGAGGCATGGTCCGTGCAACTATTCATGTTTTGTGTTTTGGAGGCTTATGTATAGGCTTGCACTTCGACGGCGCTCACATGAGGTTTCTGTACCGCCACTCTTAACGAATTCCCCTTCCCCCGACACGACCGCGCCAGGTTTTCAACTGCTCAGCGCACACTGTACGTCCTCCGCGACCGCGACCTCGTCCCGGCCACCCACTCCCCTGTGCCTGGCGACCGCGCTATCACCCGCCGCAGGACCCCGGATAATACAGGTATATGCCACCCCCCGCTGACGGACCAAAATGGGGCTCGGAGGGGCCGGATGCCTTCCGCCGGACGGACCAAAACAGGGGGGTCCCGGCCGGGTATGGCGGACCAGAAGGGGGGGGCTCCGGATAAGCGCCTGTCGGCCGGTGGGTCCGGACGGCGCTTGGGATCTTGGCGCTTAATTACTATATTGGGCGCCGGGTGGGTAGGCCTTCCACCGGGCCCGGACCAAACGACCCCCCAAACCGATGCCTTCCACGCGGCGCGGACCAACAGGGCCTCCGAGGCCGCAAAATTGGCCCGGACCAAAACCCCCCCAAAGGGGTCATTCCGGGGGAAGGCCTATGTTAGCATTATCCGGGGTCCTCCCGCCGCTGTCCGCCGTGGCTCCGAGTCTCCTCGATACGTGAGGTACGCGACGGGATGCCAGGCCCGTGCAGGACGCGCGCGCGCGCGCGCACCCGGCGACAATCTTGCGTTCAAAAAGCTCGTCGCGCGCGTAACGCGCGAAGGAGAGGACCTGATCGAACTGCGCGCGGATTGTCTCGCTCGTTCACGACTTGCTCGTAGACGACGGGAAGCGGCCGGTCGTCTCACCCGGCGTCGCGTTTTGTGTACAATCAAGGTCTTGGACGAGGGCGTAGTGCGGGCGCATTCGAGGAACGCTCTGGTCACGGAGAGGACGAATCATTGCGGAGGTGGGCTCCGAGATCGTACCTAATATCCGTATGCTTTTGCTCGGGCGGGATACTTAACGTCAGGCCCGCCGCTCGAACGAACAGATGTCCCTTTTGTACAACGTTTGACACCGAATTATTCTTCCGGGAGAGTAGGATACCGCATCGCTTTGTAGAACGACTACACTATATACGTCCATCTGTGCCTTCAAGTATCGCACAACGTCTACGTCCAGCAGCAAGGCGCGGGCATCAACTGCGCACGTCATCCGTCGCACGCGACGTGCAGCGTGTCACTGGCAACGCCCCGGAAGAACTCAGTATATGCAGTCAGAAGCAAGGAGATGCGAGGGGTACCACTGGCAGCGGGATGAGCAGAGCCTTATGGCGCATATGCAGGGCGCAAGCTGCGGCCCGGGGTTCATGTGTGCGGTCGACGTGTGCATAGTTGTAGGGGACCGCTCCGATGGAGAGCCCGAAGGCGTCTCGACTCTTCCGAGCGATTTCGAGGTAGAAACACAGTAGATTAACGAAGGGAATGATGCAGAATCTTGAGTACGAAGTTGGTCGTTGGATCCATGGAACGGCCGCGGCGATGAGATTGCGATCATACAAGTTCGATGTCCACGAGCTCGCCGTCCGAGTCACGGTCGTCTTGCAAGACGTCCCACGAACAATCTGCGTGAAATGCTCCGATTCTCCGGTAGACCTTTCCCAACCCCGTTTCCGAGGCGGAACCCGGCGTTTCGAGCGCCACCATAAGACCCCACACCAGGGGGAACCGACCATCCCTTCGCAGGAGCGGGACGAGCCACTTGGGTTCACTCTCGTCCTGCAGATCGACGATGTAGTCGGTGAGGCAGCGCCCGCGAACCTTCCTAGTATCTTCTCGTACGGCGTCGTCGATGAAGCCGGGTGGAACGTCTGAGTCCTGCTTCCGCCTCGGCGACAGCAGAAGATAACCACCATCAAAGTCGTCAGCGGTGCGCACCTTGCACGGCATCAAGGCCGCACGAAGAACGAGGGATCCTCCCGTCACCTCCCCAAACATGAGCCCTGTGTCCTTGAGCGTGACCGTACAGCGCACCACCTCGGCGACCGCGACAGCCTCCGCATCGTGGTGGATCCGATGAATTATGATCTCCCCGTCGACCGCGGCCCACGACCACGAAGGCGCGCGATACACCGCCGGGCGATCCGTGCCCCGTATCGCCCTGCTCCAAACGAGGTCGCGGACGAGCGTGTCGCGCCACAAGCCGGCGAGATAATCCGTGCGCAAGACGCGGTGGAACGCCTCCGCGAGCGCACCACAAGCAACGAGCTTGTCCGACGGATGGCCGAGCGCCCGTCGTGTATATCCGTCTACGATGCTCCACCAACGGGTGTGCAAGTCGACCCACTCCGCGGATCCGTACGCTACAGGCGGCGGCGCGGGGTGGAAGAGCGCGTCGGGCAACCCGACGTCATTCTGCATATTGTAGAGGGACCCGCCGACGTTCTGCGTGGCCGCCTGACACCTGAGCCGGAGAGTCCTGGAGGTGAAGATGAGCGCGCGCGGGGACAGGTAGAGCTCTTGCAGGCACCAGCCCCGCGTGTGGACGGGGTCCATGCCGTCGAAGTTCTTGTAGACCGCAACGGCCCCGCTGAGGGCTCTCGCGGTAACGTGCACTTCGCCCACCTGTCGCACGTCCGTGTTGCTGTCTCCGGGCGCGAGGGGGCGCGGGAGACACATGAACGGAAGCGTGGTGCTGTCCTTGGCCGGTCGATCTTGCAGGAAGCCCGCGCTGACCCGCTCTGCGCTGGCGGCGATGATGGTCAAGTACGCGTAGCGATAGATGAAGTGCATGCGCCCCAGCTCGTGCAGTTTGTCCTCGTCCGAGTCTTGCACGATGCACAAGCTGTCGACCCAGAGATAACGGAATCCGAGCGAGTGCGTGACATGGATCGCGTCGTGGATAGTCCGGGGAAGGAAGGCTGCGTCGATCCCGTCGGCGTATGCGGATATGTTGGACACCGTGGTTTGGTGTTGCTGCGGTTCGCCCCACACGTAGCTGAGGGCCAGGTATTTGCCGTATTCACCCCCCGTAGAGGCTAGGCGCGGGCGAGCGGGATCGATACAGTCGACTAGGCGCGTGGGGAGGCGAACGTCGGAGGGTGGCGAGATGTATATGCAACGCTCGTGGCCATGGACGCATTCGTTGACGAGTGCCTTCGCGAGAGAGAGAGAGCGCGGGGAGCCAACGTTCAAAACAGGATCCCTTGCGACAATATACGGTGCCGCGGGATCGTCTGCTACATCAGGTTAATGACAGATTCAGTGGCTTGTAACACATCACTCTACCTGAAGATGTATGCACGAGGCCTTCGAACACGGACATTTCGTCGTTCACAACCACGTTGAGCTCCTGCGCTTTAGCCGGCACGCAGAAGGGTACCCCACTTGATCCGAGGGTAATCTTCACCTGATCAACTAGCTGTCGTCTGGCATCGCGAGATGGGACACCGTGTGCTAGTAAGAACGTGCACAGTGCGCAGCCTGAAGCGGAACCGTGCTCCAGCTCGAGGCCCGAGATAGAGTATGAATATCCTCCGACAATACGTTCCTCGTTTAGCGTGACTGGGGTGGTGAGGAGCCCAAGCTGTGCGGCGAGCGGACCCTTCCAGCACGTTTCGCACACGGAGGGGGGCTTAGGCGGCAAAGACAGTGCTTGAGGAATGCTGGAGGTCATAGTGAACAGGCCAGCGCAATTCAGCCAGCATCAGCGTATGAGAATGAGGAGAGAGGAAGAGGCGTAGCGTGTTCAAAAATGGGCACCTGCCCATGGAGGATCTTTGAAATGCACTGCCCCAAGGCCCGGCGCTTCCGATGAGAGCGCGGACAGTCGTGATGTCGTTCTATTCAGCACCCTTATTAGTGGCAGCAGTCAAGGCCTCGTTCGAGAGGCAATGTGTGTGAAGGCGATGGGGGCCGAACGAAGTCGCAGGGCTACAGCGTACAGGACGGATGAACAGCAAGGGAGACCGTCGACGCGGAGCCGCGAGATCCACAGGAAACCCACTGGGCGCTGTCGCGAGCGTGCAAGCGGCCGGGGAGGCGTATCGATTAGCACCGTGAGTCCTACCGGGGGGCCAGGAGTGGGCTAGAACGTCGAGAGTACCGGTCGGCACCAGACAGACTACAGACGAGAGCAACAAGACGATGTAGAGGTCCGTACGCGTGTGCGAGCGCGAGATGTCCCGCGTCAGCAGAAAGCAGTGTCGGTGGCATTGGTTGGATGATCGAGCGGGTACGGTGCCGGCGTAGCGTTCAACGGACGATCGATGAAGCAAGGCATATTCGCCAGAGTCTGTGGGGTCGTTTGTGCTGTTGTGCGAGCAGCTTATTGGTGGATCACCGGTCGTGTCTGCACGTCCAGAGCGTGTGCTGCAAGTGAGTTAGATTCGACACCGACATGATAAGCGACTAACTTTTCCCCCTTCTGTGCTGAGTCAAAGATCGGTTGTTGTCCTACGATGTCGAGGTTTCAATCGTCCACTCGTTATCCTTCGATGCTTGAGGTATCTCATATGGGAGTGTGCGAGGGAACCGCATGCGACCGACATCCAAGACTCGGATATGCTGCTAGTGCTGGGGCAATGAGGACCGAGCCTGAGTAGTACATCCGGTGCGATATGGCGTCTTACTAGCAACAGGATGAAGGCTATCTCTCTTCTTATGTGCTCGCGTCGCCTCCTCCGTCGCTGTCGGTCCCTTGCGCTCAGGCTTGCCAGTGTGACAGGCGGCGGCGAAAGTGCTGTATCGTAAGCGTCCGGGGTGGCAGAACGTTCAGCGCTGAACGTTTGAAGGTCGAACACGGACTTTAATATGAGCATAGCGGGCGATATGAACAGCTGAAGAGTACACCGAGCGAGACGAACAGCTGTAGCGAGGCCTGCGCCAGCGGAGGAGTGCAAAGAGCGGAGATCTGGATCTGCGCAGACGTCACCCATCCGATATTGGCGCCTAACCTCGCCCTCTGAGCTCTGTTTCGCGACTACGACGTCGACGCGCAACGACCTCCCCTCATCCTCCCTACCGCTTTCGAGTAGCCACGATTTATATCCACCGATCCTCAATTCATCACAGACAACATACGGCGATGCCGGACACGGGCGCAAAGTTACCTTGGCGTCCCTCAGGCTTTCGTTTCTTCTCTACGCCCGGTGTTCATTTTGTTGCCTCCGATACCTATCAGAGTCCACACACTTCTAGCATACAGCGTAAGTACATTACTTACTATCTCAACGCGTACTCACGCTACTTTACAGATATCGTAGGCACGGTGTCATAGGTGCGGATCCAATGCAAGACAAACCGAATCCATACATTTGTCCGTCAACCACATGCAGCCGCGTCCTCGCTTATTACCGCCGCCCCATGCGCCTGGCGTGGTTCTGTCAAAGTGCAACCATGCTGCAAGACCGTCAGTGCCCTATTCTTTGCGGATCGCGCTTGCACACCGGTACCAGTAACGCCACGTGCGATTCTATCGGCCGTCTCAACACCCTTGCATGCACATCGTGCCTGTGCTTCATGCCTTCTGCCAAAGTCATGTGCGCAATGCCCATACGAACGGGGATTAATACAAGCCGAAGCTTTAGAACTCGCTCCGCTAGCCTTCACGCTGTCTCGCACACGATGATCTCCACTAGTCTGCTCATTGCCTCAGCCCTGTCCGCACTTGTGCTAGGTGCACCGACGCCCTACAACTTCAATCTACCCGAGTCCCGCACAGACATTTCTGCTTGCTTTTCGATCATCGGCCTCGCCCTGCCTGACCCGCTCGTGCAGCTCAACTCCCGCGCGCTCGCGGAGAGCCTCAACGACGTCAGCACGCCCTCGAGCGCGAGCTACGGCAAGCGCCTCTCCAAGGAGGTACGTGCTTCCTACCGTGTCGCTCTACCCAGTCTACTCATTCAGCCCTACTCACTATCACCCACAGGTCGAACAACTCGCCAACTCTAGCTCGTACTCCGGAGGCTCAGTATTGGTTTCGGTCGACATAGCCAACGCTTCTATTCCGAGTCTGTACGCCGATGCGAAAGGTGCCGCCCTTCTCGACGGCTGGGTGGCGGCCTCGGTGTCCTTCAGCGACGCCAACGACTCGGAGCTCCTCCGCGCCAACTTCTCCGTCTTTGAACGCGACGAGTCCGGTCTCCACGCTATCCGCGCCCGCTCATACTCCATCCCCGCCGAACTCGGGGATCATCTTGACCTCGTCCACCCTACGATCTCGTAAGTCGCGCTATACAAGGCAGATCACCGCCACCATCGACGTCACTGGCATGCTGCAACAGGTTTACAACCCCCAGCCCACACCTCATTTCCGTCCGCGACAGCAATGATGCCGGCTCCCTCGAGGGCTCTCTTGATCGTCTCAGCCTCCTCCTCAAGGCGTACGTGCCGCCTCAAGTGCTCACAAATAGCTACAGCCAGAACGAGGACACGCTCTCCCCAAAGCTCGCCGCGTACGTGCCAGCACTCCGTCTCGCAGGTGCAGCAGACCGACCATCACATACGCAGCCGTCTCTGCAGGATGTATACACAACTCACCGCGCGCGGCACCTCTATCATCGTTTCCCCAAGCAACAGCGCCGTATTCCGGGGCTCGCGATCTGCCAACTACAACAACCTTGTCCCTCCCCTTCCCTCCATCATCTGGTCTTTGTACGCGCCCGTTTTGCCCTGCCCCGCCCCTCCGCTCACATCACTGACCCCCACCTACAGCGTGACCTCCGTCCGCCCCACGCAGGGCCCCGACCCCGACCCCGTGACGGCCGGCCCCTCCTCAGTTGGTGGCTTCTCGCACGTCCTTCCTCATCCCTCCTGGCAAGCACCCGCCATCCCCATCTACCTCTCCGTGCTCGGGGCCACCCATCCGGGCGCGTCCAACCGTCTCGGACACGCGTTGCCCGACGTCGCCGACTGCGCGGTCGTCGTCGACGGGAAGACGTTGCGCGTGGACGACGCGGGCGCAACGTTCATGGCGGTCATCGCAGTGCTGACAACCGCCTTAGCTCGGAGGGAAGACGCCCGCCTGGGTTCTTGAACCCGCTCTTGTACTTCGCGGAGGGTGCGGCGGCGTGCGCGAACACCACGGTGGGCTCAAACACGGGCTGTAGGACTTGCGGCTTTCCCGCGAGGGCTGGCTGGGACGCGGTGCGTTTCTATCTTCACGACGCGCCCCAATTTGTGAAGCTCCTCGCTGCTGTGGATGTGTGAATGTGCTATGATTGCGACTTTGTATGTACGATGAGTACTGTCTTCGTTTACATCGGCGAGTAACGTACCTTCATCGCTTGCGCGTGCCAACCTCTCCAAGACGCAGCCTTTGTAGACCCCAGAGCAAAGCCTTCCCCGTACGAGTCGCCGCGGCGCGCAAGGCAACATCTCCGTCTGTCACGCGCCCGAGGATCCTCAGTCCCCAACCGCTCTTCGCGACCGCGCAGCGGATCGCCTCCGCACCGGGTACCCGCGCCGGCGCCCTCGTGTCGCAGATTCATGTGTACCACGCCCTCGCCATCCGCGGCGGCCCACAACCACAACGGCGCGCGCTGCGCTGCGGGGTGGAACGGCGCCAGCCGCGCACCCGACTCTTCTGGTTCACCGCCTGTGCCCTGAAAACGTACACTCGCTCTGCGCGCCCGAAGCCCAACGGGGTGGAACATACCACAGGGAGTGTCCGTGGCTGCGCCGCACACGACGGGCGTCTCTGCGAGCACGTTTCCTGCCGTCCGCAATGACAATTATTGACCGGCGGCGAGGCGTCGGAGGCGCACGGCAGATCCTGGCCAAAAGGCGCGGTTCGTTCGGCGAGTGGTGAGGCACGCGGTCGTCGTCGATTGGGCGGCTGAGCTGCCATGGGGACAGATAGAAGAACACGTGTGAGCTCGCAGGTCTATGGTGGACGTCAGCCGGCGGGACAGTGGTCGGAGGTAGGGTAATACGGCTCCGGGAGCGATGTCACAGTAGACGACAGCGGAGGACGCCCTGGCGCCCCCGCTGCGCCGTAGAGAGAACCGAAGCGACGTGGGCAAGAGGTCTCAGAGAGGTCCCCGTCCTCGCGAATAACGGCGGGTGTTTGCCTTCCCTACAAGACACAGGATGTGCCCTAGCGTGGCTTTTGGGCCCACCCCACGCGTTCATATTCGGCCCGGTACTCTTGTGTAGCACGGGCCGCATCATGCATCGTCCACGCAGGATGTGAAGCTTTGGAGACGAGTCCACTCTGACTGGCGGACGTGCGCAGCCGCGGAGCGTCCCACAGAGCTCATCGAAGCAGGTTTTGCATCGGCCTGTTGCAGACAGCGGAAGGTGCGGGGCAGATCCGGCGCTGTCAATCGTACTGCCAGGACCGCGCGCCGTCAGCCAGCCAGCCTCTAACATCTGAATCCATGCGGGGAACGCACCTCTTTACGAAGCGCATATGCACCATCTTCAAGTGCTGGATTGCAGGCGCGAGGCACAGATGCGGCGCATACAAAGAGGGTGGCATCCGCTTCCGCTACGGAGGGGTGCATTCCACACTGCACGCGGGCCGTCAACGTCCGACTGAGAGGAGGCAGAATGGGTGCGCGAGAAAGATAAGTGAGTGTGTAGATGGGCACGGATGGGATAGGAGGAGCCTCTTTGGAGTATAGGCGAAGGTAAGGAGTGTTCGTCTCGATGCGACTGCAGAAAGGACGGGTTGGTGGAGGAGTCGAGGTCGCCGAAGTAGGCATGCTGGCGTCGAAGGTCTATACTCGGAATGTATCTCAGTACCGCACTCGCTATATAAGAATGCCTAGGCTTACCATTAACAATCAGGCTGGCCCGGATGAACGTGGGGTATCTAGATGCTGAATGATGAGCGCTGCAACGCTATACAGAGAGAACAAGGGTACCTATCACTACTCACTTCGACAACGAAGGGCGTTCATACAATTTCGATGACCTCCTCCTCCAGCTCGCAGTATCTCAGCTGGTCCCAATCGCAAGCGAACCCGGTGGAAAAAAAGGTCCCTATCCGGCGATACACCTTCTTGTCCTCCGTCTCGGAACCTGCTAGCGAGCCCGCATTGGCGAGAGTGACGACAAGACCGCCCACCATCGGCCATCTGACACGACTATCATTCCACCAAAACGGGACTAGCCAGCTAGACACCCTCTTGATCAGGTGTTCGGAACGATGGTCAGCCCAGAATTGTCCATGACGCCTCTCGTATGCCACGATGTTGTCTTCATCGACGCCGTCCCAGCCTTCCGAGTCGCCCCGCTCGCAACACGGAGGCGTCAACAGCGCCTCCACGGCCCACTCGCTCAGATAAGTAGTCTTGTGCACCTTGCACGGTATCAACCTCGCGCGCAGCACAAGGGACCCACCCGTCACTTCGCCGAATGGAAGCTCCGGATCCTTGAGGGTGACATCGCAACGAACCACCTTTGCACCGACGACAATCTCCGGCCCGCGGGGGAAGAAGTCGGAGGTGCTTTGCCCGTCGACGGCGGCCCACGACCACGACGGCGCTCGATATGTCGCTGGATATTCGAGATCTACGGGGTCCCGCACCCTCCAGAGCAGGTCGTTGAGGAGCATCTCCGAGCGCCATAAACCCGCGAGATAGTCGCAGCGCAGGACGCGTTGGAACGCCTCCGCAAGCGCGCCGCACGCAACGAGCTTGTCCGATGACGTTCCGAGGGTGCGCGCGCTGTACTGATGCACAACATCGCGCCACCGAAGGTGGACGTCGCACCATTCCGTCGAGCCGGGTTGGAGAGGCGGCGGCGCGGGGTCGAAGAGGATGTCGGGCAGCCGGACGTCGAACGTCGTGCGGTGAATCGAGTTGCCAACGTTCAGCGTGGTGTCTTGGCACCTGAACCGGAGCGTCTTCGACGCGAAGAGGAGCGCGCGCGGAGACATCAGGAGTTCTTGCAGGCACCAACCCCGCCTGTCCACAGGCTCTGAGTCCCCTGGCGTGTCCCAGACCTCATCGAAGTAGTGCACTTCTCCCCGGGCGCAAGGCTCTGTAACGTCATCGTCCGGGGAGTGAGGGCGCGGGGGGCAGATGAACGGAAGAGTGAACTTGGGTGGTGGTGGTGCCGAACGATCCTGCAGGAAGCCGTCGCTGACCCGCTGTGCGCTGGCGGCGATGATGGTTAAATATGCGTACCGGTAGATGAGATGCATCTTCCCGATCTCGTGTAGCTTGTCCTTGCCCGAGTCTTGCACAATACACAGGCTATCCGCCCAGAGGTACTTGAACCCAAGGGCGTGGGTGACATAGATTGCGTCGAGGATGGTTTGCGGGAGGAGAGAGCGGGGAATGGCGTCGTGATAAGCAGATACGTTGGATTTGGTGGTCTTGTGCGGTTGTGCCTCGCCCCACACGTAACTGAGGGCGAGATATTTACCGTATATGCCTTCTGTCGAGACAAGGTGCGGGTGTTCGAGGCTTGTGCAGTCGACCAGGCGCGAGGGGAGGCGAACATCGAGGGTCGGCGAGATCCGTCTGCAATGCTCGTGTCCCGCCACGCACTTATCGACGAGGGCCTTTGCAAGGGAGAGTGTGCGAGTGGATCCGACATCTAGGATTGGATCTCGTCCGACGATGTATGGCGCTGCCGGGTCAGCTTTCGAACTATGTTATCAGTATCAATTTCACTACATGTGATTAGCGAACTCACCTGCAGATGTTTGCAAACCCCTCCGGAAGAGCACATTTGAGGTGCCTTCCATTACAACGAGACGTTGTACGCCGGCCGGGGTCATTTCTTTTGTGTCTTGGAATCCGACCACGATGCTCAAAGAGCGATGTACTAGCTGCTCGTCGACCCGTGCCTTGGGAGTTAGGGACACGATCCCATCTAGTAGGAGCTGACACCAATCACAACCAGTAGAGGCGTGCTGTATCGTCTGCCATCCCGAGACAAGGTACGAATACCCCCCTTCTTCGTAATCTTCAGATGCATGGGAGACCTTCGTTCGGAGTCGAGAATGGAAGAGACCTAGACGAGCAGCAAAAGGACCCTTCCAGCATTCCTCACAGACAAACGGCGGCCTGGGCGGCAGAAGGCTAGCACGGTAGGAAGAAGGCCGGGCGAGGGTGTATCTTTTGTGGAAGAATGAGAGTTCAGTATGGGTGGAAAGCATAGAGATCAAAGAAAGGACGGTCTATCGGAGAGGGTGCGTTGGCGTCGGGATGGGAGCAGGCAAAGGTGACGAAGGACGCCGGGCTGGCGCAGCCTCCACACGGTTTATAGAAGTGTTTCCTACCCGAGTCCTGGCAGCCGTGCGCGTCCTGCGTATGCTGTGCAGTTTACGCAGAGCCATAAGGCCCGAGAGAAGGCCTGTCATATAGCGAGCCGGAACTTCGTCGGCGCGGGCAGTGCTCGATCGTGCGGCGCCTGCCAAAGACATCTGGATGGGGCCGGGCGATAAAGTGAGTGCAGGATGTAGACGCATTGGGCTCGAATGCTGTCCGGTTCTTCGTGGCGTCACGGCAAGAAAAAAGAAGCCAGATGCATTGCTGCGGATAGGGCTGTACACAGAGAGCCATCGCCGAAGGAGTTTGCATGGGAACCTTGGGCGAAACGCTTGAATAGCAAGCACAGCCCGTGAACGATGCCAAGCGCGGGCTCGTCCTCGGAATTCATGTCAGTCGTGTGTGCTCGCAGGAGTACGATTCCACATACCTACACAACTTGGGCATACATCATAGCCAATGTGATCCCACGCCGCCTATGACGAGGAGCGGGGTCCCCTTCTCGTAATAGCACGAAGGGGACAAACTACCGTTTCTCATCGTGGATGAGGGCATGCGCGCGACATTTGTGTTGATCGGCGAGAGAAGGTGGCGGTGGATGAGGGCGATGGAGATAGAGGAAACGAACAGATGGTGCACACGGGTATCTATGCGCATCTTGGGAACTCATCTGTAATAGTGTATGCCTCCACGTAGAGGCAAAGCTCATACATACTGCTCATGCGTCGCTTCCAAACAATGATGGTAGCGGACAGTGGTTCGTTGTTGTCTCCGCGTGTCGCATGTACGAACTCGCACTGTCCTACCGCGTCCTAGACATCGACATATACCGTTTCGGTCGCCGTGGTCCATTGAAAGATGATATCGGTGCATTGAGGAGGAAGATACTTGTGCGAGGACGTCGAGAAGAGCGGGCGGGGAATGCTGTCGATAGAGGTTGCAGATTTCCAGTCAAACACTGATGGGGTGTTAGAAGCCTCTCCGCCCGCGCCCAGAATGGTGGCGGACGTCCTGTGCAGGTCGATGGCAGCAGAGATGGCTTACTAGGATGAGCACAGACATGTCGAGAGCCTGAGAAAGCCAAGCGGCGTCCGAGGTGGTGACGGTAGGAGGAAGTGCAAGTTTGGCGCTCCGCATCTCGCGGAGTCCATGCACGGTCCGCTCTAAGCCAAGTCCTGTACGCCTCCCCCCACCATCGCGCTCCTGCGTACTACGCGTATTGTCGATCCTTTCGTGCATATAAACGTAGAGGAACACAGCCAGTGGGTCTATGGCATGCCGCAGCGTACGCACGCACAAGCTTGAAAATTGAACATCGCAGCCCTATATACGAGGCTCGATCGTATGTACGGTCGAAAGAACGGTTCAAACATTCTACACGAATCTCTCAGAAACTCCAGAGCATCTGTCTGCCTGACCCCAGTCTCTTCTCGCTCTAGGATGTATTATCCACCGAAAAGCTCGCGTTTGCTGTATGTATACGCCCTCATTTGCCGACTGTCCAACCGTCACATCCACGGCGCGAAGATCGCATCCATGCTCTATATTGCGCATGCTGATGGCTACATTCACCGTGATCTATTACAGCCATCGCTCTCTCGTCAGTCTACGCCCACAGTCCTGTACGTCGTCGTTGTAGTAACAGTACTACGAACACCTCTCCCATCCCATCCGAAGGTGCTGATGCCTGCTCTTCTAATCCCCAAACCATGTCTGAGTCCGTCAGCCCAAGCTGCCCAGCACTATCAACCAACGGAGCTTCCCTTCCACACTTCCATCCACACCCTCGCGCGCGGAAGTCCGCGCCCACGTCACCGCAGCACTCGTCTGCGTCCTGAACCGCCGCGCCAGCTCCCGCTGGCCACGCCTCATTTTTCACAGACCGCATCGCACGACTGCGACCTAAGTCTGTGTACAGAGCGAACGAATGCACGTCTGTGCTCGCCGAGTTTCAGCATATCGGGCTTCTAGAGGTCGCCAAGCACCATCGCACGTAGGGCAGCGCGACGGCTATGCTTCCTCTCCTTCGACCCTGGAGTGCAGAACACTGTGCCGCCGCGTGCATCACGGCTGCCCAGAGCCTTTCAGAGTGGTATATTATCCCCGAGCGCGAATGCGCAGACGCGATATGCGAGAACGACACCCGGGTGCTTGCCAACTTGCAGCTGGCCGCTCGCCATTCAGGAAGATATGCAAGCTGAAGGTTGAGAACACGTACGCGATACACGAGCCTCCTACGAAACGGCGCATCGAACGACGATGTTTCGGCCGGCCCACGCCCGCCCCGACCAATTCAGATCCGAGCGATTCGCTCGCGGAACATGTAGTAGCCGGACGATGCGACGTCGAACAGCGCGCCGTGCAACACAGCGGCCCTCAAAGTGCGAGGTGTCGGTGGATATCCTGGCCACTGTTCGCGGTTCGATGCAGGGAACGTGTAGCCCGACTGCTCGGACACGACCAGAGGCACGCATCCTGAAGAGCGTGGAATCAGCTTCTGTCCGGACGCATCGAAACACATCACTACTCACCGAGCCTCACGATCCCTGGAACCTGCCGCACGCGCCAGATGTCAGCGCGGCCACGCTCCTGCTTGCCCGAAGTTCGCGTTTCCGCCGCCGCGCCCTCGTCAATGGCGCATTTCCGTTGTGTCGCCGTGTCTACCACCACGCCCCGCGGTGATCGCGGGTTTCCCGCCATCTCACCATCACCCTAGCAGAGTATAAAGGCGTATAACAGTCGTCCATCGGGCGATGCGTGCTGCGAGGTGTAGATGCGCACCTCGAGGCGCGCTACGCGCCCCTGCCCCCGCGACGCGCGCAAAGGGCCGCCCACACAACCTCGACCTCCGCTGCACAACCTGGATGCGTCCATGTCCGACTTATCACCGTCGTTCGCAGCCGTCGTCGGCCTTGTGTTCAGCCCGCGGTTCGAGATCGCGCCATAAGACGATAACGCAGATGTCGTCGCGCAGACATAGCTGTCAGTGTCTCGGAGCCTGCGTCGTAGGCGAGGCCCGCATGACCTGCAGCCGTTTCGGTAGCCAGTTTACGCGGTGGGTACTGCGTCCACGCACCATTTCACAGAGATAGTCCGCGTGCTTGTTCTTATACGCACAGGCTATCGTTTGAATGTCGCGAACAGGGAGCGTAAGCCCAACGCCGATTGCGAGGAGGTAAGCACGTCCGTTTCGGCTAGACGAAGACGATGTAGTAGGCAGGTCGCCGCCTGGATAGTTCACCGTCAGCCGCGCCTCGTTGGTAAGTAATGAAGCTTGAAGCAGAGAACGTACCGATGCTGAATCCCATTTCCAAGTGCCCAACTGCCAACAGCGTCTACTCCGAGCGTGAATCGGATCCTGGTGCTGATACGAGGTAGAGTGGCCGACTTGGCGTGCAACTTGTACTAGTAGACGGGAACCGCAGGGGAACGAGTATGCATGGAAGCTGACCTTGTTCAGAAAGTTGACGTTCAACAGTCAAGCATGCGCGGTATGGTTGGAGCTAGCGTGCGACAGACAGGACATGTTCGAACGAGACGGGATAGGACATACGTAGCCTGAAGTGGACTTGAAGCGAGAAGCAGCAGACTTGGAGCCCAGGCGCAGAACGGCTGGACCAAGACAAGACAGCGGTCGAGGTCGAGAGTCGTCGAGGCGAGCGAGCGAACAAGGTTTGCCCCGCCAGCGCTCCGTACTTCCCGGAGCCCGCTTTGCCCCGAGCGCTTAGGGGACCACCATCATCGCACTCGTCTCCGAATGCTCCTTCCACAGGCCCTCAACGATGCAGATCTGCCGTGGCGGGCACGCAGACGCACTCCACTCCGAATTCACGCTTTGGGACACCCGCATGCTCGGAGACATATGACGGCACCGAGCGCGACACCTATCTTCCGATGTCGTCTTTCAGACACGCCTCAGCGTTGCGGAGGCCGGACCCCCTGCCCGCCCACCCACCCGCTGTATGTACGCCATCTTTTCGTTCGTTTCGCTCACAACGGTACGACACAAATCATATCTTCCCGCTCTATCCTCAGAATAAGCACCCCGCATACACGTTCTGGTAGGTTCCTTTCAAGCTGCTGGATCGCGACCTCGTCGAGTGCACCTTTTCTACGTGCGCCTAACCACGCGTTCGTCAGCTCCCTCAGTCCCGCAGTGTCCGCAAACGACACTTACCTCCCGCGCGCTCGTGCTCACAAGCGGGATTCCGCTCCTCCGCCTCGCCATCTACGCCAGCATCCTCGCCACGTCTAGGCTCCTGCATGGCGTCCTTTGCCACGTCGCGCGTCAGACGCCACCTTGCCCCAACAATATGCATCGTTTCCAGCGTCCGACATCGCGGGGGGTGATGGTCGCGTCTGAGCTCGGGATCGCGGAATAATCAGGCGGCGAGGAGTCGGTCGGATGACGCGTCGATCTCTTCGGCATGGAGGTGCTGTAACGTAGTTGATCAGACACATGCAATTGCCTCGCTACCGATGCTACGTACCGTCGAGTGCAATCCCCGCAGGATGCGATGAAGAGCTTCACGATCCGGCGAACGCGCATCGGCACTCTTGAAACCTCGATATCTTGGGCTGCCGGATGGCGCCCGCTAGCGTCGCTGTAGTGCATAGTGACCCTTCTTCGTGCCGGAGTCCTGAGCACTGTGTCGCGGCCGCCTCGTCCGCGCTTGCTACGCATTGCCCGCGCGAACTGCGCGCGAACCGGGCGCGTCATAGCACCGACCGCCTTCACGCCGATCGCGGACTATCCGCCGTATCCGCCGCCGTCTCTCGAAACGCTCATGCATGCCATACTGGTCGAGCGGACGACGGGCGCGGTGTGTTGAGAGTTGCAAGTGCACGGCATGAGCCGCAGGCGCCGCCCAACGTGTGGCGCTCGGAGAAGGGTCAGCCCGGGGTTCTCGATGTGGAGACGTGCGCGCCACGGGATATGTTGGATTGCGAAGACGCCTCTGGAGACGGCTCGCGTTGAGTGGCAATGGGGCCCGAGGCAGAACAACACCGGATGGAGTCGCAGCGGCGTGGACAAGCGCGACGCGAAGCACGGAGCAGCCCCGCGCAGATGCGCGCCGAACGACCAGTGCGCGGAATATCGCCATCGCGTCAGGGGTTTTGCGAAGTGTCAGTCGGTCGCATACGAGGGGACCGGACGGGCTAGCGAGATGTGGACGAGTACCGGAGGTTGTACGAATGAAGGCGGACACGATCTGCAGCCGTCGACGTTCAGACGGACGCCGTGAAGGACGAGGATAAGAAAGACGTACCTCGGCGAGCTGCTGCGCCCGTGCGCACCGCACCCGTGCTGATGGAGCGTGTACTGTAGCCAGCCAACGAGACGCGGCCTGACGCGGTGTTGAGCGCGGAATGACCATCGGTCGTGAGCCGCTCGACGCGGAGCCGTTTGTACGATGCGTGGATACTAAAGACAATGTAGGTGCCTATGGCATATGGAGAGAGACACACGTCAGTAAACACGCACTTGATCGGAACATTAATCAAGAAGAGCATACAGAGGATTGGATGCACACCGGCGCGTTCCCAACAAGAGGCGACGGGGGCCAGACGGATTGGAGTGATCGTGAAGGGAAGGCGCTAGGCGTCGCCAGCCTGCATTGAGAGTGGCTCGTGGAGGTCGTTGTAGCGAGGTTTGAGAGCGAGGGCCGTGACACGAGGGAACAGGACTGGAGACGTCGTGAAGGATCGCGAATGTACGACGAAGAATAAGAAGAAATGAAAGGACAAGAGACATCGCGAGAAGCAAGCATTGGAGTCAACAAAAAGGAGCAGGAAGGGGTTGGCAGTAGCGTCTAGTATGCTGCGACGAAGAAAACGAGACATAACGAACAAGGGAAACCGAGACGAGGGTAGTTGAGAGGGGCCGATGATGCGGGAGACAGAGCCGAGTCCGAAGCCGGAGGGGAGATACTGGAAGACAGCAGGGATTCGAATACAATCTAGGATACGGGGGATTGCGGCTCCGTGAAGGCGAGGAGACGGTCCAAGATACGTCTGATGTACGAGAAAATGTTGAAGCTGCCGAGTTAGGCTGCGGCGGGGCCACGGTGTGGGGATACTTGCGCACAGCCGATCCATTAGAAGGTGTATGCTGGATACGCTGCTCAGTACGGCATCGCGGTGGGCGAAGAGGTAATGGGCGTACCAAGGCCACTGTTTCCCGGCGTATATGATAGGCTGAAGATATGCACCTTCGACTAGGGAGAGGGTAGTAGAGGCAGATGGAGGACGGACTCGTGGAATTTTCGGAGTGCGAATGGATAGGTTATCTTGAAATCGCGATGCCGGACAATTCACGGCGATAGGGAGGGGGTGAGATGTGAGACCACGAACAACAGAGCGACCCCGTGTGGCGTCGCCTGCGCGTGCAGCATCGTGGACGGCAGTTACGCTGGACGAATTGCTGTGCGCGAAAGAGAAAGGGCTGACGATGCGTCCAAGAGTGAGGCAGGTGCATCGGAAGTGCGGAGGAGCTGTACGATCTGCTGCTGTCGGGGCTTAGCAATACGGGACGGATGCTGTAGAGCATAAAGACGCACTTCAACGAGCTGCCACCGCCTGCGGCACGGTGTTTGTGCCATCCCAGCTCGCGCGCAACTCTCTGTAGAGTTGTGAACGCGCGGATCGGATATGCCTTTTCATCGACGCAATGGTATGTTCTTGCGAGCCGCAGCGACGACGAAGCTCGCGGATGCTCCGGAGGCACGCTCACCGGCGTTCTTGTGGAGGTCGTATGGATGCAGCCTGGCTGTGAGACGATGATGCAATCGCGAGGGGTGGACGAGAACTTGAAGGGGGCGCTCGTAGCCGGTGTTGCAGCAAACAAGGTTTCCGACGCTCCGCGTGCCCCGAGCGCTTAGCTTTGGACGGCTCTGAATCCCACCACCACCATTGAACGCCATACTGCTTGGATGCTCTGCGGCGCAACTTGCCGCGGTCTTGTGGTCGACACGTCCCAGCACGCGGCTCGTGTCTTGAACGCTCACTGGCACCAACACCCTCCACGGGGTCAGCGTCCACTCCCGGCAGGAGCTCATCCAACGCGTCTCTTTTCCCTGCGCATACGCATCCGTAAGCCGTAAGCTCTCCTGGTTGAATATTATCTGCGAGCCATGCTTACCTTCCCCAGGCCTGTCCCGGCACTGGAGTTCGGGCACGAACTCCGGCTCCATCACGCCTATGCCCAGCCTTCATCGAGGCTACGCCCACACCTACTAGAGGTTCCTCCCTCGCTTCGCCGTCGCGCCGCATCGACACTCCGCCGCGCACGAAATCGCCACCCGCAATCGATCGCGCCCTTCCCGGGATTGCAAATGCCTCAGCCGGGAGTCCATCGAGACACGCGCGGGTCGTCGTACGCGGCTCGACGTCGGGCCTTGTGAACCGACTGTTCAGAAACACGTCCACTCACGATGTACAAGCGTGAGCACGTACGATCGGGGGTGCCCGCCCTGCAGGTCCGCGATATCAGCTCCTATGCGCATCCTGACGCCGCATCTTTCGGACTCACGATGCTTCCCGTCGAACGCCATCGACACGCCTCGCGCGGACGTCAGAGCGATCGCGCCCTCGCTCGTTCGAAGTTGGAGTCTCCTCCGCGCCGCGCTCGCGCCCTTCACCTGTACGCCTCTCATTCGCCGCCATCTCTGCCGCTGCGCTCCCCAGCGATCGTGGGCCTTCCGCCGCATCCCCGTTGCCTAGGGGCCAGAGAGATATGACAGTCGTGCATCGGACGACGCGTGCTGCAAGGCTGCGATGTGTAGACGCACGCCCCAAGGTGCGTGATGCGCGAGGTGCATTGGATCGCGCAGCCGTCTAGGAGAACGCGAATAGGTCGTCTCAACTCCTGAGTGCTGGCGGCGGGAGAGGGCTCAGATGGTAGCGGGTGGAGGACGCCGTGAGCGCGAGCGAGTGTGGTGTAACCATCTGCATGATCGCGCGCGAACCATAGGGTGGGCTCGCGCATGTCCGTGCGGAGGTGCCTGTGCGTGAGGAGTATTGACGCGTATACGATCGCGCACGGGTAACCCACTGGGCCAACGGATTGTCTGGACTCCAGATTTCTGGCGGCGAGGTAACATGGTGTTGAACCGCTGTCGATGGCTACCTTCGTAGTCGCGGCGTGCCAGCCCGCCGCAGGTGGATACGTCGAAAGACGGGGTGTATGTCGACGAGCGTCTCGGGGGAGAGAGGCCATCTGCGGCGAGCGGTGAGCGGCGAGCGGCGTTCAGAAAACCGACTCGATGTCGCAGCTCGGAACACGTACCTGGATGAACCACAGCTAGTGGTAGTTGACATGGAAAATTTGCTGAGCACGGCGCGTGGTGTCCGTCTACTAGTATGGACCGCGCAGGCTGATACGTCTCCGCAGCAACCGACCCGCCGCGAGACGTGCCAAGATTTGTGTGACGGACAGATGGACTCCGCGACGCAGCGAGCTGCTGGAGAGACGGGTGCGTAGTGGGCTCATAGTCTTGTGGCGTGCTGTCGGCCGAGAGCTGTTGGACTCCGAGGTGTTCGCAGTGTAGTTGTCGGATCGATGGAGACTGGAAGTCAGACGACGAGATGGTCGCCCGGGGTATACGAGAAAGACGCCTCAGTGATGAGCCGCACGAGTTGGAATAGAGAATGAAAGGAGCATCGGCTTTTGACGAATGCGCACCATTCTGCTCCTGACGTAAGACGTCGGGATCTCGGTGGCGGAGACGGCAAGAGTATGATGGCGTGGTGTGATTGGTGGATGGCGGGAGCGGTTGTCGATGAAGAGACGGAAAGACGAGGAAGGGAAAATACACGATTCCGGCCCACATCGACGCAACGCTGGACAAGCATCACCCGCGTCGCGAAGAATGTCTTTGGCGCGAACACATGCGGGTACCGGGGCGGGTTTGAGGACATCAAAGCGTGGGGACGGGCGGAACTCCTGGCAGGGCGAGACGAGACTGGGGTCGCCTCCAACAAAGATACATCCACAGAGCCACTACGCGCAGTGCACTGTACTAGGGCGAGGGACAAGCGTGCAGAGGGCCGGGTGTAATGGTGATAGTTTGAGCGAGCGATACGACGGACTCGGTGTATGAAAAGCCGAATGTGACAAAGGGAGAACGCATGAAGAGAGCGGATATACAGGGGAGGCGCTTCGAATGTGGTATGTCGGTGTGAAGGATTGTGCTGAGGAAGGAGTCGTGTGTAAAGAGCAGATGGGGAGTGCGCCGAGTCTGAAGCGCCATGCGGGGATCGCAGTCGCGTTCATCCCGGGACCACAGGAGCCTCCGCGGGGAATATATTGAGGGACGTGCCAGCCACCGTTCGCTGCTTGACGCAGGGGCCCCCGTGAGTCATCAGTTTGCATGCATGCCCGATCTCCGTTCATGCGCAAGCCTGAGCACGTACGACCAGAAGTGTACGTTCTACCGAACATGGTGTCAGTTTCTGTACCGATGGATCGAAGCAAATCATTGCTCACCAAGCCTCAGGATCTCAGCCTGCGGCACGCGTCAGGTGTCAGAGCCTCCAGTCATGCCCCTTGCGCACCCAAAGTTCGAGCCTGCGCCGCGCCACGTTCCTACTCGCGTCCTGGAGTCGCTCGCGCGCCTGATTCCTCGTTCCATGGTGCGTGCGAAGGGTTGCTCATACGATCTCGACCTCCTCCTCTTCCTCCAGCGCGTGGAGACGTCTCAGATGGGCCCAATCATGACAAATGGATTTGAACGCCCCAATACGGCGATATACCTTGCCATTCTGCGCTCCGGTGCCCGAGTCCAGATTTGCGAGGGTAAGGATAAGACCGGACACTTCTTCCCTGACAAACCTATCGCGATCCTGCCACCAAACCGGTAGGAGCCAGGCAGACTCCCTCTTGTTTAGGAGATCAGGAAGATGGTCGACATAGCAGAATGCTAGTCGACAGTTCTCGTCCTCTGCTATGGTGACGTCTTCATCAACCTGGTGCAAGCCTCCCGAGCGCCGTCCGCATAAAAGTGGCGGTAACAAGATTTCGGCGCCCCATTCCCAGGTGTCAGTCCTGCGCACCTTGCACGGTATTAATTTTGCACGGAGAACAAGGGAGCCACCCGTGACTTCGCCGAATGGAAGCTCGGGATCTTTGAGGGTGACGTGGCATCGCATGACTTGTGTCCTAACTACGTCAGAATGATCATAAGAGCGGATTGTGATATGGCAGATGCACCCATCGACGGCGGCCCACGACCACGACGGTGCGCGATATTCCAGAGGGCGGTTTGTATTAAAATGATACCCAGACTTGCCCGAATGTGGCAAGGTATGCCAGAGTAGGTCTTGGAGGAGTGTGTCGCGCCATGAGCCCGCGAGATAGTCGCAGCCCAGGATGCGATGGAATGCTTCCGCGAGCGCGCCACATGCGACGAGCTTGTCTGATGCCTTGCCAATGGTTCGGTTGCTGTACTCCCACACGAGCAACATCCAACTGGTGTAGTGGTTTCCAATCGAGCCTGATCGTATAAGCGGCGGCTCTGGGCGGAGGGCGATATCGGGCAGTCGAACCTCGTCGTACTTCCCTTCAAGAGAGTTATTGACATTTTGGTATGTCTTTGGACATCTGAACCAGAGTGTCCTAGATTCGAAGATGAGTGCGCGAGTGGACATAAGAAGCTCTTGCAGACACCAAGCCCGCCTGTCCACCGGCTCCTCCAGTGCCTGGCTGCCCTGGTATGACCACGCATCGAAGAGGTGCACTTCCCCTACGGCCATATGCTGTTTCCCCCGTGAAGATTCATCCCCAGGGATGGGGCGGTGTGGAGGGCAGATGAACGGAAGAGTGCCAATGCAGCGTGGTGTCGGACGGTCTTGCAGGAAGCCATCGCTCGCCCGCTCTGCGCTGGCAGCAATGATAGTGAGGTATGCATGACGGTAGATGAGATGCATCCTCCCGATCTCGTGCAGCTTGTCTTCGTCCGAGTCCTGGATGATGCATAGGCTGTCCACCCACAGGTACCGGAACCCAAGGGTGTGTGCGACGTAGATCGCATCCCGGATAGTTTGGGGAAGGAGAGAGGCATCGATCCCGGCGGAGTAGATGGATTTGTTGGAATTGGTGGTCTTGTGGGGTTGTGCTTCGCCCCACACATAGCTGAGTGCGACGTATATACCGTCTTGGCCCTCTGTTGAGACTAGACACGGGAAAGCGAGGTCGGTACAGTCGAGAAGGCGTGTGGGGAGGCGAACATCGGAGGACGGCGAAATGTGTTTGCAACGCTCGTGTCCATGTACGCATTCGTCGATGAGCGCCTTGGCAAGGGAGAGAGCATGAGTGGATCCGATGTCTGTGATTGGATCGCACGCAATGTATGGTGCTGCCGGATCATCTGCTAAGCTATGTCATGCTTATGTTCTCTGTGTGTGGTTTGAGGACCCACCTGATGATGTTGTTAGAAATGTACTCAGGCGGACGTTGATGGACATGAACACCTCTAGTTTTGGTGCGTCGATTTCTGCGAAGAGAGAATACTTTTCTCCTGATACGAGAGTGATCTTCAAGCGACGTTCCAGCTCGGCTCTGGTGCACTGGTGTGGTTTGCACAGCCCGCGTAGGATGAAATCACACCAAGGACAGCCGGAACAGGCACCCTGGTCGATCTGTGATCTCCTGACGAAGTACGAATACCCCCCGGGGCGGAAAAGGCCGAACTGCGCAGCAAATGGACCCTTCCAGCAATGCTCGCAGATGGAGGGCGGTCTGGGCGGTAGCTTGGGCGGCTTGGACGCAATCCTAGCGCTACGGCGTAGAGGCTGTGCTTCGCGCTTACTGCGGGGCATGGAAGAGTGGGGAGGTAAAGTGCGGTAAGTGTCGGTGCGCGAGGAAGGAAAGAGAGGCGGGAGGAGCGACGTACGAGTTGCGGGTATATATGCGCATGCATGCATAGGGGATCCTTGTACCCGCACCGCCCTAGCGCTTGCGAACACGACGTGGACAGCCGCGAGAATGTCCTTGCACTACCCTTTACAGGCATCGCCATACGCCGCTCACCGAGAAGCAATGCCCCCGAGGAAGGTACACCTCGGGAGGCGATACATTGCGCGTGTACACGATGCAGGGCTTAGGGCGTTCGCGCGCGATCGCCAGCAAGGCGCAGGAGGGTAGACAAGGAGGTGCGCGTCAGATGTGGACTGTTCTTCGGAGGGCAATGTCGATGCCGTGCTCCAGGGGGATATTGCGAACACCGCCTTGACAGCAATCCTTGGACGTGGAGGACAAGTAGTACAGCCATAGACTTCCATCGAAGACACAGGCCGCATAGCCATCGGCAGATGACCGCAGTCTTCACGTCCTGCAATCTGTTCGTTAGATGCCACGTACACGGAAGGGTAGCGGACATACCGAGGACGCCGCCACCGCCTTTCGGCGGCATATTTCGACTGTGTCCATGTCTAACTCGTCTTTGTGGTCCGCATACGTCGGCCTCGTGTCTGAGCCCGGCATTCGATATGTCACAATGAGACGATAACGACCATATCATCGTACAGACTTAGCAGTCAGCATCCCATAGGTTGAGGCACAGCCGACGACAAGCGCTTCACAGACGAGTCCGGCGCAACCCGCGGTTCATTTCCCGTAGGCCACCCGACGAGCCCAGGCGATCCCAGTACGCACGAGCGCACATTCAAGCCGATATACCAGAAGACTGCGAGACTGGCTGCAAGCGATGGAAAGGGGAGAATGGGTGAATTCGTTTCACAGAGGACAGCATGGATGCGGCGCGCGTTGCGAGCGATGATACTGTAAACTGCGAAACAGTGTCGGTCAGCGAACACCGTGAAGAGGGAGGACGAGACAAAACTCACCTGAAACAGGCTCTCCTGTCAGGAGGCATACTTCCCACCCCGAACGCCTTCCTTCCTTCTCTGACCGGCAAGACAAGTCGATGCCGCAACCGCTCGGTGTTGTCATACTTCACCACACCGCCGCTCCTGCACGCACGTACGCCTCGCCTGCAAGAAAGTCGCCTGCGCAGCCTGAGCAGCCATCAGGATATGCGTCGGCGGCGACTTGAGCGCTCGCAGTACGCCGAAATTCACCATGTCGAGTTCGGATTTAGGGCGATCGTAGAGGACCCAGACCGCCCCACAGGTCGTTGCTGGGCGCGGGCTACAATACTCTTTAGCCACTTGATGCAATAGATACAGTGACAACCTACCGCCTCCCTCAACAGTCCGCGTGCGCGTCCTAAAATATGCACAGGCGATCGTAACAGATGCAGCGAGGACGGAGCGTGAGCGCAGCGCAGTGTAGATTGCGTCCCACATAGCGATGTATGAGAGTATGGGGTAAGCAGATCCGTTTCGGCGAGACGGACACGATGTGTGAACCTACTACTGCATGGAAAGTCCGCCGTCAGCCGCGCTTCGTTGGTAGGAAACGAAGCACAGAACGTACCGATGGGAAAGCCCGTTCCCAGACGTCTAACTGCTAGCAGCGCCTCTTATACCGCGCGCAACACTGCAATCTAGTCAGATCCTGGTCCCAATATGAGGCAGGGTCGCGGAAGTTGCGCGCGACCAGTTGATAGGAGCGGCAGGGAGACGAGCTTGTGAGGGGTCCTGGTGCGACGTACTAGCCTGAGATGGAGTTTTCGGAAGCAAAAAGCGGAAGGGCAGGCTTCGTCATGGTGCAGTGCACATAGATCAAAAGGAAAACAGTAGCGTAGTATAAAACAGCCATTGAGAGAGTTAGACAAGCAGAGAGTCGTCGTCGGCACTGGTGGTGGTGGTCGACTGGTAGGCGGTGTGGTAGCGAATAAGGTTTGGCTCGCCAGCGCTCCGCACTTCCCGGAGAGCGCGCTAAGCTTTGGACGGTTCGCTCTCACTGGTACGACAGCCTTAGCTACTTTCGCATCCGTACAAACCCGTACGCCTCCCTGCGGTACAGCTTTTCGCACTCTTATCTTCAACATGTCTCCTCCAAGAAACCCCAGCACATGGGCAGCTGTCTTGAGCACTCACTGGGACCTCCTCTTGTCAACGTCCGGCGGCCGCCCTGCCTGCGATATCGGCACACACGGTACGATGTCGTTCATGTTTTGTGCAGCGTATCCTCACAGCTCTATTCCAGTACAATTTCTTCTCCCCACAGGCAGCGTCCACGCTCGCGTCGTCGCGCGTCGTAATCAGACTGTCGTATAAGCGAGTCGCGGGAGCCCATCTGACAGCGCCCACGCACGTCCATTCTCCCTGCGCAGACACATCCGTAAGCTTTCGCCTCCCATTCCCGTATACGAGCGGTACTTACCTCCACAGACTCGTCTGCCTCCGAAATCTATGCTCGGGCCTCATCGAGGCCGCCACGCCGCCTCGACAACCCGCGCCGCGCACATCCACGCCTCGCGAAGATCGTCTCCGCGTTCGTCCTTAGATCGCAGCAGCCCCGGCGAGAAGCAGGGCAAACCCCAATCCCACGTCAGCATGGCGCTCGCAGCCCCTACGGCAGCCAAGATCCAGATGCACATCCAATGCCACACTGTGCGGTGGTACGACGTACGCCGTCACAGGGAGAGCATGTCCTGCAGCATGCGATGTCATAAATTGTCCAAATGGAGCTAATGCATGTCTGTACTCACCACCTGTGCGCCTAAGCTTCGGTATCCCAGCGCCGGTCGAAGGTCTCCATCCCGGTGCATTGCGCGTAGGGAAGAACCGCTCGAGGTCCGAGCACCGTGTCGAGTTCTCCCGGGACATTTCGTTCAAGACCATGCTACGCACGCGCCACTCGTGCAGACCAACGGCCAGTGTCGCCCTCACCATCGGCCATGAGCTGCCGATGGTCGTATATGGCGCGTCCAAGGCCGCGAGTTATGCGGGGGTCCGATCCAAGACATCATCCGAGCTGGGGGGCTCCGCAACCAGCAACGCCGGCCTGCTCGCACAGGCACCGTGAGGACGCGTCATCTCGAGGGCATACGGAGACGATGGGACGACAGCGGGGGAAGGCGTACGAGGCCGCGAACGACAGAGCGGTCCCGGGCAGCGCTGCCTGCGCATGTAGTTTCGCCATCGGGAGTTGTGTAGGGTAGCATGCCGCGCGGAGAGAGTATGCACAGAAGAGACGTCAAAGAGTGCTACAGGTTTACTGAAGGAAGTGCGGTACGATCCGGGGTTCAGAAAGACGAGATGGAAGTTATAAGTCGTGAATACGCACCTCTCTTCCCCACCGACCGTAGCGCGGCGTCTATGTCGTCTTGACTCGTACGCCAAATGCCCTGCGCCCGACGCACGCCATCTATGCATGATTACGCGGGCCGGAGATGCATCCCCGTTGGCGTCGTGGTACGTTCTCGCGAGCCACATCAGCGACGAAGTTCGAAGTTCGCGGACGCTCGCGTTCACAGAAGCGCGAATCTCCGCTCCGAGGGATCTACTTGCGGGGTGTGTGTATCGCGGGGAAGGCAGCCTGGCGCAACGTCGAGCAGCCACAGTGACCGCCGTCGGCCGAAGGCGCCCGTATCGCGAGTTCCGCCAGCAAACAAACAACACCACGATGTGGCTGCCGGCGAAATGCCCTGGCGAAGGAGTCCACGTCAGTATTCGTATACACCAGATGGTCGTAGAGAGCGTAGAAAAGGCGTACCGCTTGATTGGGCGCCACGTTGCGCACCGGTTTGTGTCCGAGCGAGACGACGTGAGCTCCACGCAGTGACGCTAGGTAGTGAAGGAGGAAACGGAGGTAGATCGTGGATATGGATGGAAGAAAGCTAGTCCCGGGCCGGGAGTGAATGGGGGGGGGTATTGGCGGCGAGCCCGAGAATGGCGATAGATCTTCGGAACGCAGGCAGTGACAGCGCAGTGCGTGCGGAGGGGCCCGGTAGGAGCCTCGAAGAGTGCTGTAGATGGGCGAGTCCTCGAGGATGGTGCCGGATAGCGCGGGTGAGTGGATGATAGCGAAATGCGGGAGATGAGGGGAAGTCCAAGACAATGTGAGAACGAAACGTGTGTCGCATCTATCCTCACGGCAAAACCCATGCAGCCACTACACGCGCTGTGCTTGCGCATGAGTATGGCGTGCAGAGGGTCTGTTGCGAGGGCGATGGAGTGGTATGAAGAGTCGAATATGACCAAGGAGAACTGGATGAGAGAGAGGGTGGGTACACGGGAGAGGGAAGAGGAGCGGAGTTTTAGAAGCGAGACGAGATGGTTGGAAGGGGGTATAGTGTCGAAGAAAATTCGACTGAGATAGGAGTGGGGCATAGGGAGCGGGGAGTCGTGTAGATGAAGAATACGCCGAGCATGAAGCACTGCGCCGCGGTCAGCAGCGAATATGTTGGGGGATGTGCTGGTCCACAGAGGCAGCTCGACGTAAAGGCCCTATAATTTGGCTAGTCAGACCCATGTCAGATCCCGTACAAGCCTAGCAAGCACCTACGATGGGGGGTGCACACGCAACGTCGGCTTCTGTACGATCGCCTTGAGGACGCATCAGTACCAACAGAGCCTCGGAAGCGCAGCCTGTTGAATGCGGCCGCCAGATTTCAGAACGGTCGCGTTCTCGCTCGTCCGATGTTCGAGTCTCCATGGGTGATGGCGCTCGCATTTGCGCTCTTCCCTCGTGCATCTCCTCAATCTCTGCTGTGTCTGCTACCCTCACTGGCTACTGCGGGTGGCTCGTTCATGTCGGGGTATGCGTGATAGTCGTCGAGGTATCTATGGGCACCCCACGCTGTAGATGCACGTCGCCGGCGGAGGATGCCGTCGAGTTTGCTATAGAGCCTCGAAGGAAGTATCGAATTTCGCCAATGAACGCCTCCCCGACGACGGTGAGGGACGTTGCGTCGTGCAGCCATCTGAGAACGTAGGTCGTCTCCAGTAATGGTGGAAAAAGGGTGTTATAGACCAAGACCGCGGGTCGGGAGACGACGTGAACCAGAGGCACAGCGGCAAACGCGTGTGTCTCGCGAACCAAGGAGAGGCGCCCGCCCCATGTCCGCGCGGAAGAACATATGCATGGAGAGCTGCGGGCGATGGCTTCACTTTGAGTCGCGGAATGCCAGTCGGCAGTAGGCAAGTAGATTGCAGGGCTGAGCCAGATGTCGACGAGTGCCGAAGGTTGAGCCTGGAGAGTGGCATGACACGGTGATCTGCGGGCTGCGGAGTTCAATAACATGACTTGAGTTCTGCAGCTAGAGACACGTACCTGAATGGACTGCGGGTACCACCAATAGTCGACGTGTAAAATACACAAGCACAGTGCACGCTGTCCATCCATGGACCGCACAAACGAACAACAATCTCTCGAGGCAACAGGCCCACCGTGAGACATACCGAGATTCGTGTGGCGGAGGAGCCAGTACCGTGGCGTAGCGAACCTCTAGGGGGTACAAGTGTGCGTAGCCAGGTATTAGTCTGACGCGTGGTCTGCCTAGAGTGGTGCGTTTTAGAGGTATTTGTGCAGAGGTTGTCTAGACATAGGCTGGCGCCAGAGGACGAGGCTGTGGTCTAGGGTGGACCGGAAAGACGTCTCGGTGGCGAGGTACACGGCTGAGTCGTAGTAGCGAAACGAAGATGAGTCATGGCGCGGAAACATGGTGTATACGTCGACGAGTGGGATTCGGAGTTTGGTCGTTTACGTGCGGTGTGATTGGTAGATGCCAGGGGATGGAGTAGATGGAAGAGACCACGAGCGTGAGTCCGATCGGCATGATGGTGGAAAGAAAGAATTGCAGGTCTCGCAGAAGGCGTCACCCTGATGGGCGCAGAGGTGAGTCGATGATGTTGAAGGACGGGAGAGAAGCGGAACTCCTGGCAAGGCAAGACGGAACTAGGTGTCCGCCATCACAGCACAGATACACCCACAGCCTGTGCTGCGGGAATGTGTGAGACGCGCAGGCAGAGATCTAGTGTGATGACGATACAGCGGCAAGGTTGAAATACGGGTGGATCGGAGTCACAGCGAGGCTTCCAAGATGGATGATATTGGTGTGAACGGGTGAACCTGGAAAGAGTTTGGGGTGGACGACCGTGGGTCTTCGGATCAGTGGCCAGTAGAAGGATTGCTATGCCGAGGGAGGAGTCGGGCGTGTAGGGAGTGGTTGGGGTATAAGGTGGGTCAAGGTAGGCTTGTTGGCGTCGAGAGTCTATATCTGGCGTGCACATGGCTCAGTACTGTGATCGCCGAAGTAGGACAGTGTAGGCGTACCGTGAAAGCGCGCACCGCCACGGGCGCAGAGTATCGTTGTGCTGAATGTCAGATATGCATAGTGAGTAGAGCGCATCACGGAATAAGACTAGTAGCGGAAGGTACCGGAGTAGTATCGCAATGACGGAGTTTGTTTCAAACAATCTCGACTTCCGACTCCTCCAGCGCGTAACGTCTCAGCTCGTCCCAATGATGATGACCGCCCGGGCCCGATGATTTAAAATAACCAATGCGGCGATAGACATATCTGTTCTCCGTTTCTGAGCCTGAGTCCGTATTTTCGAGAGCGACGACAAGGCCCTCTACATTGTGCAGCGTAATGTCAGGCCATACCCAACACGGTATGAGCCACGCGGAACCCCTTTCTAGCCGAAAGAGATCGGAAAGATAGTCAATGTAAGCTGTTGCCGAAAGCTTCGTATTCACTGCTATGGCGCTGTCTTCTTCAACCGTAAAACGTAAGCTAGCTCCGACCGGGTGCTGCTCGCGCGGAGGGCGCGGTAACATAATACTGACTTCGTTTGCGATGCTCCAGTGAATCGGATTCGGTTTGCCCAGTTTGCAGGGTATTAATCTGGCACGCAAGACAAGGGACCCGCCGATTACTTGGCCGAATGGAAGTGCCGGGTCTTTGAGTATGATCCCACAATGAATCACTTCTGCAAGAGGTTCTTCGTATTTCGCCCAACCGCTCCATGGCGATGGAGAGAAGACTGCCCCATCGAAGGCGGCCCACGACCATGACGGTGCCCGATATTCCGCTGGGCGGTCTGCAACATACCTATCGTCTCTCTCCAAATCAGCAGCACGCCAGAGTATCTCTTCGAGTAGTGTGTCGCTCCATAGTCCCGCGAGATAGTTGCAGCGCAGGACGCGGTGGAATGCTTCCGCGAGCGCGCCAAATGCTACGAGCTTGTCCGACGCCTCGCCAAGGGTTCTGCTGCTGTACTCCTGTACGATGCGGTTCCATCCGGTGCGTATATGGCGCCATTCCATCGAGCGTGGTTGTAGAGGCAGCGGGGCTGGGTGGAGCACGATATCGGGCAGCCGAATATCGCAGTCCTTCCGGTGAAGAGAGTTGCCGACATTGAGTGTGGTATCTTGACACCTGAACTGGAGTGTCGTTGATGTGAAGATGAGTGCGCGCGAGGACATGAGAAGCTCTTGCAGACACCAACCCCGCCTGTCCACTGGCTCTCCGACCCGGCGTCTCATCAACCAGTGAATCTCGGAAAGGTGCACTTCGCCTCTGGCCATAGGTTGCTTGCTTCGTGAACATTTATCTCCGGGCATGAGACGGCATGAGGGGAAAGTCAATGGAAGAGTGAGCCCTGGGGACAGTAGTGCCGGTCGGTGTTGCAGGAAGCCATCGCTGGCCCGCTCCGCACTGGCGGCAATGATAGTGAGATACGCATGGCGGTAGATGAGATGCATCCGCCCGATCTCGTGCAGCTTGTCCTCGTCAGAGTCCTGGATGATGCACAGGCTGTCCACCCAGAGGTACCGGAACCCAAGAGTGTGTGTGACGTAGATTGCGTCTCGGATAGTTTGGAGAAGAAGAGAGGGATCGATCCCGGCAGAGTATATGGATACGTTGGAGCCGGTGGTCTTGTGCGGTTGTGCGCCGCCCCAGACGTAGCTGAGCGCGAGGTACTGTCCGTGTTCGCCCTCCGTCGAGACTAGACGCGGGAAAGCGGGGTCGGTGCAATCAACAAGGCGCGTTGGCAGGCGAACATCAAAGGGCGGTGAAATCAGTCTACAGCGCTCGTGTTCATGTACACACTTGTCGATGAGTACCTTGGCGAGGGAAAGAGCGTGGGCGGATCCGACGTCTGTGATTGGATCGTGTGCCACGATGTATGGTGCTGCCGGATTAACTGCGAAACTATGTTATCCTTATGTTCTCTGCGAGTGATTTGAGAACCCACCTGATGATGTCGTTACCAATTTCTCACAGCCGGTGCCGCATTTGGACACGGATATATATAGTACTTGTGCTTCAATTGGCGTATGGTAACGATTTTCTCCTAATATGAGATTGATCTCCAAGCGACGATTCCGTTTAGCTTTAGCGAAGTAATATGCTAGGAACAAGTCGTCTCGGATAAGCCTACACCAAGGACAGCCGGAAGAGGCGCGCTGTTTGATCTGTGACACCCAGACGACGTACGAATAGCCCTCAGGATTGAAAAGGCCGAGCTGCGCAGCAAATGGACCCTGCCGACAATGTCCGCAGAGGGTTGGTGGTTTGGGTGGTAACTTGAGTTTGAGCGCGATCCTAGCGCTACGACGCGTAGGCTGCGCTTCGCGTTTGGTGCGGGCCATGGAGGTTTGGGGAATCGGAGTGCAGTGCGGTCGGTGCGTGGGGAGGGCAAGAGAGGTAGGAGGAGCAACACATGAGTTGCGGGCATATATGCACGCTTGTACACAGAGGATCCTTGTAGCCGCACCGCCTCAGCGCTCGCGGGCACGACGCGGACAGCCGCGAGAATGCCCGAGCACCGCACTCTACAGACATCGCTATACGCCACCCCCGAGCAAGGCGAACTTCGGGAGGCCATGCATTGCACGTGGAGGCAATGCGAAGTGGACAAAGGTTCAGGGCATCCGCGCACGTTCGCGAGCAAGACTCAGAGTGAACAAGGAGGTGCGCGCCCAACGTGGATCGTTCTTCGGAGGGCAATGTCGAGGCAGTGGCCCGTGAGGAGATTGCGGATGCTCCGTGCGTGCGCAAGGTGGCAGCGATACTTGGATGTGGAAGACGCATAGCACAGCCAGAAATTCAGATCGATGACGCGAACGGCGCGGATGCTGAAGGCATAGCTGTCTGAAAATAACCACGATATCAGCGTCCCGCGATTCGTTCGTTACATGCCGAGCGGACAAGAAGGTTTGCGACATACCGGGGAAGCCGCCACCGCCTTTCCGCTGCACAGCCTGAAGGCGCCCATGTCCGACTCTTCTCCATGGTTCGCAGGCGCCCTTGTCCTCGGATGTGTTCCAGCCTCCGGGACGATCACTGCTCAGTCGGCACGACGGCCTGGTCGTTATCGGCCTGCGGTGCGGTCTCGAACTGCGGGCTCGAACACGAGGCAGACGCGGCGCCATGCTCGTACAACTCGCGGTCCATTTCCCGTCGACCACCAGACAAGCGCACCGTCGAGACGAGATACCAGCATGCTACCAGACTTCGGACGGCGAGCGACGATGAGAGGAGACTTCGTAAATTGGCTGTACAAGTGACAACATAAATATGATGCTCGCTGCGAGCAACGATACTGCAAACCGTCGACCGGAATCAGTAAGCGGGCACTGCGAAGAGGCAGGGAGGGACAAAACTCGCCTGCGACAGACATTCTCGTCAAGAGCCAGCTCGCGATTGCTTGACGATCGCGTACTTCGCAGATCCGCTCCTAGACGCGCATACCCTCTGCCTTCCTCGACTCTGCTTACTGACAGTCGATATCGAGGGACATACGTTCTGAAGCATCTTGAGCGCGTAAAGCACGCGTCGATTGTTGTGTTCTAATTTGAAATGACGCGCGTACAGTGAGAGAACGTCGGGAACTCTTGCGAGGATACACACCTTGTACGGGTATTGGTAGGCGGTGAATGAAGCTTGCTACTATCTCATCAGCGCATGCGTACGGAAGACTGTGCCATTCACAGACCCAACGCCTACCGAGACCCTCCATCCAGGGATACACGCCCCATAGTGTCCTCAGCGTGTCAGGCGCGCATCAATTGGTGTTATGTTCAGAATCGGTGCTTAGGCGCGCACGGTGTGAGGATGGTGGGCGGGAGTGGATACTTTGCGAGGATTCATGCCTTGCGCCGGTAGTTCTAGGCGGCGGCTGCAACCGACTGTTATCCCATCAACTCATACGTACAGAAGAGGGTGCAGCTCACCGACCTATTAGAATTGTAACACGCTGCGTTCAAACGGGTTATCTTCCTGAAAAAATGCGCGTTTGGCACGGTGGAATAGGAGAGGAGCGCTGCGTGTAGAGGTAGCGAATGGAGCATCAGCGCTAGCTATGATAGTCGTTAGTCATATAGCACGACGAGTACGGTGCATACGCCTTACCTCGCATCGATGGTTCAGGTGCTCGTCTTGGTTTATGCAGGTGTTGTTGTCGTAGCTGCAGAAAAAGCCGAGCACGAGCGCAACACCAGTTCCGTGCCAGATAGCGAAGCACGAGAGCCGGAGGTAAGCGCATCCGTTGCAACTGGACGAGAACGATGTAGGTAGTGATAACTGACCAGCCTGCGTTTTCAGACTGACTAGACAATTGGCCGTCAGCTGCGTTTCGGCGATAGGAAATACGACATACTGAATGCAAAGGCGCGTCCCCAAATGTCCAACCGACAACAACGCCTACACCGAGCGCGACATCGGCTCCTGATACAGTACCACGCAAGCTCTCCGAGTTGGCGCGCGACCACTTGATAAGAAGGGCAGGGAGACGAGCCCGTGAGGGGTTCTGGCGTATACGAGTCGTAGGCGGGTCATGTTCGAAGCAGATGTGGTGGGACGTCACCTGAGGTGGCATTTGAAGCAAAAAGCAGCAGCCATATTGGGGGCCAGAAAACAAGAGGAATGATTTAGCATGGCATCAAAACAACGGTCAGAGAGTCAGACGTCTGACAGAGTCGTCGTCGTCGGTGGTGGTAGTAGGGTCGACCGTAGGCGGTGCTGTACTGAATAAGGTTTGCGCGGCACCGCAAGCGCTCCGCACTTCCCGGAGATCCGAGATCCGCTGCTTCTGTCCCCCGCGCTTAGCTTTGGACGACTCTGCATCGCACCACCATCTCACTTGTCTCCGAATGCTCTCAATACGACAGCCTAGCTACTCTTGCGTGCTCCTCAACGTGCTATCTGACGTACTGAAATAAAGATTGGCTTTCTCCCTGCGGCACCACTTTGTATGGTCTGATCCTCTATACGTCTTCTCCAAGAAACCCTAGTAGCGTACGGCTGATGGCTCACCATCGCGTCCATGCACATCCTCTCCACCCATCTACGATCTCCTAGTTCTTTCAGCAGGCAAAGAGTGCTGAAGATATATACACCGTGCTCCACACTCATCCTCGACACACAAAAAACTCAGAAGATCAATTCGTTGAGCGTTCTCCCCATGGCCACCTCCACGTCTCTTCTTGAGGTGTCGTTCTGCGTATGTACCACGCGCCAGGCTTAGTTCTATTTCTCTGATTGGATCCTGATCAAACACAAGTATACCGAGCCGATAGCCTTAACGGTGCCCCCCGTGGCGCGCGCGCAGACGCGCTCAACTCGGATTTCGCGCGTTGGGATACCCCCATGCTCGGAAAAGTATGACGGATCCAAGCGCGACACCCATCCTGCTGTGTCGTCTGCCCGACATGCTTCAGCATTGTCGAGGCCTCATCCTGTCCTCGGACTCCTGCGCCTTCTGCTCGTCCGCGGTATGTACGTCATCTTTTCGTTTGATTCGCTCAAAACTATACAATGCAGATCATATCTTCCCGCTCTCTTCTTGGAATCATCGCCTCTCCTGTACGTTCCATTCGTTTCTCTCAAGCTGCTGAATCACAATCTCATGTAGTACACGTCTTCTACGCGCCTGGAAATGCGTTCGTCAGCTCTACCTCCCACGCGAGCAGAAATCCGCTCATCCATCTCTGTCTCCGCAACCGTTGATCGCGCTTCATCCATGCCAACGCCGCCTCTCTTGCATTGCGTCTTTGGCCGCGTCCGACACCACCCCGCCCCGACGATCCACATCTGCTCTGGCGTCTGACATCGCGCGGGGTTGATGGTTGCGTCCAAGCTCGGAATCGCGGAGTTGCCAGGCTGCGAGGAGCGTGTCGGAGGACGCGGCGGACCTTTCGGCGTGGGGGTACTGTACCGTAGTCGATCAGACATTTCTAAAGACATCAAGAGCAAACCATGCGGAGTGCGGCGGCGGCCTCGGCAAACAGACAAACACGGATCGCTCTTGGACATCTTGAGCTGCTGGAGGGCCTCGTGTCGCGTCGCGTGAAGTGCATAGCGAGACCCTTCTTCCATCGGGAGTCCGGAGCGCTGTCGCGCCCGCGTGTTCCGCGCGAACCCGGCGCGTTCGCGCTCATCATAGCATCGACTGCGTTTACGGCGATCGCGGACTATCCGCCGTATCCCCGTTTCTCGAGATCCTCATGCGCGCGATACTCGTCAATCGGACGGCGGGTGCGGTGTGTTGAGAGTTGCAAGGGCACGGCATGAGCCGCAGTCGCCACCCAACGTGTGGCGCTCGGAGAAGGGTAGGGCCGGGATTCTGGCCGCGGAGACGTGCGTGCCACGGGATATGCTGGATTGTGAAGACGTCTCGGGATACGGCTGGCGTTAAGTGGAAATGGGGCCCGAGGCAGAAAAAAACGCCGGATGGAGTCGCAACGGCGTCACCCCACGCGCGACGCGAAGCACGGAGCAGCCCCACCCGGTTGCACGCGGAACAACCGGTGCGCGTTCCCAGCAGGAGGAGACGGGAGTCGGACGGATTGGGGTAATCGCCAGGGGACGGAGCTATAAGTGGACAACCCACATTGGGAGCGGTTGGCGGAGGTGGTGTTAGCGAGGTTTGAGAGCGAGGGCCGTGGATTGAGGGAACAGGAACGGAGACGCCATCCTTGAAGGACCGCGGGTGTACGACGAAGGATGAGAAAAAATAAAAGTACAGGAGACATAGCGAAAAGCAAGTATGGGGTTTGAAAAGACAGAACGGTCAGGGGTTTGGCAGATGCATCTATGCCGCTCCGACAAAGAATACTAGACAAAACGAACAATAGAAACCGAGACGAGGGTAGATGAGGTGTCGCCAATACGGGAAACAGAGCCGAGTCCGAAGCCGGAGGGGAGATACTGGAAGAGAGCAGGAACTCGAATAGAAGCTGGGATACGGGGGACTGCGGTTCCGTGAAGATGAGGAGACGGTCCAAGATACGTTTGGTGTGGGGCGCGTACGGGAAATACGAGAAAGTGTTGAGGCTTCCGAGCTAGGCTGCGGCGGGGCCGCGGTGCAGGGATACTTGCGCACATCTGGTCCATTTGAGGATACATGCTAGATACGCTACTCAGCACGGCACCACGGTAGGCGAAGAAGTAAAGAGCGTACCAAGACCATGGTTTCCCTGGTATATGCTTGGCTTCAGATACGCGGCTTCGACTCGGTGGAGCGTAGTGGAGGCAGATGGAGGGTGGACTCCCCGAGTCTTCGGAGTGCGGGTGGACAGGTTATCTTGAAATAGAGATGCTGGACGAGTCACGGCGACGAGGAGACAAGGAGTTTTGAGACCACGAAGGACAGAGTGGCTTCGGGTAGCATCGCATGTGCGTGCAACATCGCGGCCGGGAGGCAGGGTGGACTGTTGCGCATGAAAGAGCAAGAGCTGACGAGACGTCCAAGGGTGCAGCAGGTTTATGTTGTGCAGGATGTGCGGAGAAGCTGTACGATCTGCTGCTGTCGGGGCTTAGATATACGGAACAGATGCTGTAAATCGTGAAGGCACACCTCGACGAGCCACCGCCCGCGGCGCGGTGATTGTGCCATCCCAGCTCGAACGTCAAACTGCCTGGGCGTGACTCTCTGTAGAGTTATGAACGCGCCGATCGAATATGCCCCTTCATCGACGCGATGGCCCGGCACATACCGGGTATGTTCTTGCGAGGGGCCGCATCCGCAACGAAGCTCGCGGACGCTACTGAGGTGCGCTAACTCTGCGTTCATGGTGCGGACTTCAACAAACCGAATCGAATACCGCAGCGAGACACACACGTAACTGCAGAGAAATTTTAGTCCGACGCCCTGTCGGCCGTAGGCTATTGGACTCCGAGGGTGCGACCACGACATGCGCATCGCCGCAACGCACATCTGACACCTGGTAATGTGTCCCTTCGTTTTAGGTCCGGAGACAGTGACGATGCTGTCCCGAACGACGCGTTCTGGCCGCCGAGTCAAAGAAGCGAGCGGCGGACACCGCCGAGTCAAAGAAGCGAGCGGCGGACACCGCCGCGTCGCGCATGTGAGGCTCGGAGGGAGTCAAGGCCCAGATACGCGATTATGAGACGCGAGGTGCATCGAATACCGCAGCCGTCTGGGCGGTCAGATCGTCTCGGGTTGTGGTGGAGAGGGAGAAAGAGATGTAGGCCTGATCTTCTGCGGCGCGAATAGAGCGAACAGCCTGTCGCATCCGAGGAAGGCGAAGGGGGAAACGCGATGTCGATGAGTGTCGGAGTTTTTGGGAAGACAATTATCTACAGCGCCGAGGCGGGGAGTTCAGCAAAACGACACGAATGTCGAGGCTTGAAACGCGTACCTGAGCGAACCAAGGCTGCGGTCCAGCAAAGCATGCGTCGATCTATCCGACTAGAAGTCGGCCTAGCGAGTATATCAGAACGGGGTGCCCCGTCCGTCTATGGACCGCGCGGACTGGCGCTCTTCGAAGTGGCCGCGGGCCGGCTGTGCGCCCAGGCGTAAAATAGGTTGACGGAGTGAATTCGGCCGCAGAGCGATCTGATAGTGGGATACATGCGTAGCAAGGTACTAGCCCGACGCCCCGCCGAGCAGCCTACTGCGCGGAGTAGCTAATAGGTTCTGCGACGGGAGCAGGTGGCAGTTGATGACCGCGGAACTATGAAACAAAAAACGAAAACTCACTGGTACATGATAGCGAGTCGCCGATGGTACATATGGGAAGCGAACGAGGTGGAGTAACAGCTACCACAGGGTGCTGAGATTGCGTTCAGATAACGGTAATCTCCTCCTCCAACGACGTGGGTGCATAGCTGAGCAGCTTGTCCCAGCTCAAAAACGTCGTGAACTCCCCAAGCCGGCGGTAGACCTTCCTGCTCTCCGTGTTCTCGCCCGAGTCCAGATTCGCGAGGGTGACGATAAGACCGTACGCCGATGGGGCACCTGGGGCGTTCGTTCGCCGGAGAAGCGGGACGAGCCACTCTGACTCCCTCTCGAGCAGCAGATCAGGATCATGGTCGACGGAGCACAAGCCGAGAAACCTCCCATCCTCGACTATGGTATCGGCTGCATCAATAACTCCAGGGCACCGCCCGCGCGCAGAAGGCCGGACAAACAGGATCTCAGCGCCCAACCCGTTATCAGTTATGCGCACCTTGCACGGAATCAACGTCGCACGCAGAACGAGCGAGCCACCCGTCACTTCGCCGAACGGAAGCTCCGGCGTTTTGAGCGTGACCTCACAGTGGACCACCGTCGCAGCAAAAGCCACGTTCAGCGCGTTGTAGGAGGGGCCACGGGAGTCGACCGCCCTGTCGACGGCAGCCCACGACCACGACGGGGCGCGGTACTCCGCTGAGCGGCCTACTTGTCCGGATTCCGGATCCCCGGCACTCTTGTGGGCTCGCCAAAGCAGGTCGTAGAGCAGAGTGTCGCGCCACATGCCCGCGAGATAGTCCGAGCGCAGGATGCGGTGGAACGCCTCCGCGAGCGCGCCGCACGCGACGAGCTTGTCCGACGCCTGGCCAAGGGTGCGCCCGTTGTATTGATTCGCGATGCGCCCCCACTGGGTGTGTATGTCGGCCCATTCCTTCGAGCCACGCTGTACCGGCGGCGGCGCTGGGTGGAAGAGGATATCTGGTAGCCGGACGTCCATGTACGTCCTGCGGATGGAGTTGCCGACGTTTGGCGTGGCTTCTTGGCACCTGAACCGGAGTGTCTTCGACGCGAAGATGAGTGCGCGCGGAGACATGTACAGTTCTTGCAGACACCAACCTCGCCGGTCTACGGGATCCGGCGGGTCCACAGCCCAGGATCGGTGGGAGCAGTGCACTTCGCCCACCTGCTGTACTTCCGCTGCATCATCTCCAGACGCGGGAGGGGGCGGGGGACAGAGGAATGGAAGGGTGAGGTCGTCTGGTTCTGCGAGACGATCCTGCAGAAACCCGTCGCTGACGCGCTCCGCACTGGCGGCGATGATGGTGAGATACGCATAGCGATAAATGAGATGCATGCGCCCGATTTCGTGCAACTTGTCCTCGTCCGAGTCCTGGATGATGCACAGGCTGTCCGCCCAAAGGTACCGGGATCCGAGTGTATGCGTGACGTAGATCGCGTCGCAGATAGTTCGGGGGAGGAGAGAAGTATCAATCTCGGCGGAGTAGGCAGATATGTTGGATTTGGTGGTCTTGTGGGGCTGTGCTTCGCCCCACACATAGCTGAGCGCGAGATATGTACCGTGTTCGCCCTCCGTAGAGACGAGGCGCGGGTGCGCGGGGTCGGCGCAGTCGATAAGACGCGTGGGGAGGCGAACGGCGGAAGACGGCGAAATCGTCCTGCAACGCTCGTGTCCATGCGCGCACTCGTTGATGAGCGCCTTCGCGAGGGAGAGAGTGCGAGAGGATCCGGCGTCCAGGATGGGATCGCGTGCGACGATGTACGGTGCTGCCGGGTCGTCTTATCACGTATGTCAGAATCGTGTTGGCTATGCGTGATTCAACGCGGACCCACCTTCCGATGCATGCAACAGTAGTTCGTCAAAGCTCCTGTCGTTGTTGATAGCTACACGTAGGTTTTGCACATTGGTTGGGGTGATTCCGACTCCACCGCCAGGGGATCCAATCGTGATACTGAGGCAGCTCGACGGCAGCCCCTTGATACCTTTGACTACGGAGCCGCGCTGTAGGAGCTTCTGATATAGGCACTTACACCAAGCACAACCGGCTGCGGCGCTTCGCTTCAGCTGTTCCCTCGAGGTGGAGTATGAATACCCTCCCTCCCCAGTCCACTTGAACGGCGCGTGGAGGAGGCCGAGCTGTGCAGCAAAAGGGCCATTCCAGCAGTCTGCGCAGACGGAGGACGGCTTGGGCGGTAATTTCCTTGACGCGATCCGGGTGCTGCGACGTAGCAGCTGTACTTGGGTGTTGCTACGGGCCATGGAAGAACGGCGAAGCGGGCTACGGTACATGTTGGGGGGTGGGAGGTAGGGGATCGACGTCCGCATGTCCGTTATACCTATACGCGCACCGGCAAATATGGGACCTTTATCGATGCACCGCCCCAGCGCCCACGAGCACGACGTAGACAACCGCGAGGACTTGCCGGCATCGTGTAATGAATTCCACCGCCATCTGCCACTCGCGGAGGCAGCGAGTCAGTGCATGTGAAAGGAATGCGGAGCGGAGGAAGACACGGGGCCCACACGTGCAATCGCGTGAAATGCGCAGCGTGGCCGTGCGGAGCCGCCGAAGAAGACTGAAGTGCGTGTCCAGCGTGGATTCGAGTCGTCCTTCCGTAGCAGTAAAGGCGCAATGCCGAAGAGGTAGTCCGGGCCCGGGAGGGAAACACCCTCGCGATGCGCCCAGAAAAGTTCCGACAATGGCATGTATGTAGCAATCATGGGTGCGGATGGCTACGGGCGACATGAGTGTCTGCGATCAGTTAGATAGTTACGAATATGGGCAAACACATATAGTCGTCAAACGTACCGAGGAACACAGCGCCGCAAGCCCTTCGTGTGACAACTTAGGTGCCCGTACTTGACGCTCTCCGTGGTCGGCCTCCTGCTTGAGCCTACCCAGGTACAGCGAGATCGCATTGTAAGCAGAAAGGAGATAATCCATCCCACCAGTCAGGTTCCCGGGTCCTAGTATAGAGCACATCGAAGAACGAGTGTGTCGTGAGGTGCGCATGACGTCACGAACCGCGGTCCGTTCCTGCAGGCCAACAGACGATCCCGGACAAGCCCAGCACGCGCCGAACCCAACGGGGACGAACCATCCGCAGATCGTCGCACAGACCACAGGCGACAGAAGAGGAGAAGGCGTGGGTTCGTGGAGCAACAGACAACAGACATATGTATGATGTTCTTTGCCAGGGCTGGTGCTGTGGATCGTGAACGCGCGCATAGACAAGACTGGTCAGGGGAAGATAAAAAGCGAAATTCTGGTACAAGACTCACCTGCGTAATGCTAGAGTCCTATCGTCCAGAATCTATGTACCCCCAACCCGATGACACCGTCCTGCTTCGCAGACCAGCAAGGCTCGAGAGTGCAGAGACCACTCAGCTTCGCAACTCCTGCGTTCCGCACCAGAAATGGAGATCCACAGGACCCACGCGCAGTGCGCAGGAGTCGCGCTCACTCGGGTGCGAGCGCGTCACGAGCTGGCCATTTGCATCGGTGATGCCGCCCAAGGCAAACACGCCGCCGGCGCCATAATTGGAGGTTGGAGCATGTTTCTGGCTTCGAGTATGCATATGTAGAGGGTCTATGCGGATGTATCTAACCTCCATGAAAGAACTGAGGGAGAGGTATCCGCCAGGCCCGCTCCACGTCCACCGCGGATGGACAAGGGCGACACAGGTGGACAAGGATGGTCCTGAGACGTGGACGATCCGAATGGGCGCGCTCAGCTAGTCTGCCAGTCAAAGGCAATCCCGAAAGCTAATCAACGTGCGATGGATGAAGATAAGAGGAATGGACATACCTATATGCAACTTTAGGTACACGGTCCTACGAGCAAGACGCCGCGCGGCGCCTTGATTCCCAACGGAGTGAGACATATGCAACATCCGTGCGAGAGCACAAGCCTTGTATTTCCGCAGCAGAAGCGTAGAGATCTTTGATGTGAGGGAGAAACGGACAGACGAAGGTACAGGACTTTATGGGGCGGCGCGAGGCCAGGTTGTGCGAGTTCTATGTTGCTGCCTGCGACGGGGCTGAGGCGGTGATACTGTTTGACCAATCTAGAGAACCAGACATCCCAGACGCGTTCCAGCACAAAGTGAGAGCCAAGACAGCGCGAGAGGAGTAGAGGTAGAAGGGCTGAGAGAGAACTGCATGTGTTGTCGGCGGCGGTTTGGCGACGGTGGTGGTACTGAATAAGGTTTGCCCAGCGCCTCCGGGGCTGAGAACTCCGAACTCCGCGGAGTCCGGGCTTCTGCCCAACTTGAGCGTGAACCACATCTGCAGTCTGCACATACGGTACTTACTTGCCACTAGTGTCGACGACGCTCTTGTACAACTGTGTTTCAGTGCTCTGGCCACGGTCCCAGGCCATACCATCGCAGACTTCTCAGGATGGTAAGTACCCAACTTGCTTCGCCCGCGAGCACTTGCTCCCGGGCAATCCCATGAGAACGTTAACAGTTCCAGACTGTTCTTTGACAAAGCCCATGGTCCTCCGCAAAAATATCAGGTTTGTCTCCCCCGATTGGAGACCAATACTTAGTACCTTGCAACGCGCACTGTTTCAGCCGATGCCGTGTCGTACGGACTCGGCCATGTTGAACTTCTGTGTCTACGGCTGTGCCGGACCGGGAGTGGCAGTGATAGTGGCTGTGCGTCTACCATACGCCAGCATGGACTTTCCTACTTACCATATACGTACATTCTTTTGTTCTGTACTTACTTGGCATCCTGCCATCCCTCCATATGATTCTGGTACGTTCTACGATGTTCCGGACTATTCTAGACAGTGTCCGGATTACTCGCATTACTCAGCCATGGACTATCTGACCTTATGTCGATTATGCTCCCTTACTCAGCGTTATTCATCGCTCAGTCAGCGTCCTCTGGACGTCACATGCTCTCTTCTTATATGCTTACTCATCGTCCTCCCCAGTAGTATATAAGGAGGACTCTGCAGGCCTCTGCTCTTCAGTCGTTCTCTCACAGACTGAAGAGTAAGTCCCATACTACCTATGCTTCTTTACATGTTTACTTACTAGTACTTGTAGCCTCTCTTTGTGCGGCTTACAGGTACAGTACTATGCAATCATAGTCGTTCTCTCACAGACTGAAGACCTCTCTTTGTGCGGCTTACAGCCTTCCAGGTTCAGAGTTCATCAGGCCAGAGTTGGCCGTAGGCGTATACTTAGAAGCTGTGGCAGTTGTGGAAAAACACGACGGCTCATAATCGAGGTAGGGGAAAGGCCGGGAACAAGAAAAATGTTATAGCGCTTCTGCGCCGCTTGTTTCACAAACGAAGAGCTCGGGCCAGGTCAAAACAACGGGGTGGACAGACTAAATAGAAATCAGAATGACGGCGATCCAAAAACTGCACGTAGAGAATCTGAAGTGACGAGGCCAGAGGTGGTGGCAAAGGACCTCGGTCGAGTTCAAACAAGCTCGATCTCCGCCAACCACTACGCGTCGCGGCACAATTGCTCGGAGCAAAGGTAGAACAATGTCCGTGTTTGGAACGAGAATTGTACCATAGTTGTCCCGATCTGTATTTGGTCCGTATTTGTACGGAGCAAACGGCGCGCGGTCACGGGAGCTACGCGTCCCCTGCAGAAGGACGCGACGACGCGCCTGCAATAGGCGCCTGAGCCCTTGACCGCATACACCCACCAGCAACCAATATATCCACATTTCTTCCCCCCTCCCATGCCTCCCCCTCCACCACCGCCTTCACAACGGCGCTATCGATGCCCGTGTACCACCTGCAAAAACAGCCCGCACAAGAAGCAAACCCTCCAAACCATCAACACCCACCGTCGACGAGACGAGGACGCTTCGCAGGCTTTCGCACATGCCACAGGCTCGCATGAAGACGACCGACGACTCAGCCAAGATCTGCGGATTAGGACTCTAGGACTAGAGGAGGAAGGGCAAGGTCAGGCAGTGGGGTCAGGGTCACATTCACCCGGTGAGAGCCCCTCTTCGGACGACTCTGGTTACTTCGACACTGCGCCTTCGCTCTCTGGCTCTCTGGGAGATACGCTAGGACAAGAGTCTACTCTAAACTCTGCTACTGGGGATGCTGGGGAGGACTCGGACTCTGAACTCGACAGGCTGGGGTCTCCGACTACTCGGTGGCAGACTACGGTTGAGGAATGCGAAGACGAAGACGATGTTCCTGATGGACCTACTGGACCTGGCCGGTGGTCCTCATCCTCTGACGAGTCCTCTGACGAGTCTTCTGATGGGTTTCTTCCGGAAGACGCCTACTTCTCGGACGATAGTGCGGAGGACGACATGCCTGACCTGCGACCAGCATCCCCTGACTCAGACACCTCCTACGACGATACCCTCGACGACGACACTTTCGACATTGGCGATGACGATCCTCTGTACGTCTCTCTTGACGAGCTGCATGTCGGCGACAATGATCCACTTGAGCCCAAACCTCAGCCAGGCGAGCTTCCTCGCGCGTTCTACGAGCACCCGCTCGTCCGTCGCGCATATGTGCAGGCATTCATAGCCGTCGCCTTTCATGGTGCTACACACGACCTTGCCCAGTACATGCTCGAATGCTCGCGTTCTCAGCTTGTCTCGTTTAGTCTACAAACTGGGTTCGAAATCGACGGGCTAGAGCGCATGGCGGTCACTCTGCGGACAGCCGAACGACGTCTGGGACTGGACCCCGATGACCATATCACCTACTATGCGGTGTGCGATGTCTGTTGGGATACTCACCATCCTAGTACACTCGATGAACTCCCTCCGGATGGCAAGTGTGTCCAAGAAGACTGTCCCGGCATCCTATTCGAGAACAAGGTGTTCAGCGATGGCAAGGCCCGTCGCATCCCGGTCAAGGTCCTCTCTGCCACAAGTCCAAAGGATTCGATCCGGCGCCTTGTATGTCGCCCAGGCAAGCTCAAAGAACTCAGCGAATGGCGCCGAGGACAGAAGGATGAGCCTGGTGCAAAGCCGCCTATAGATGCTGAGCACTGGGCCGGCATTCTTGACGAGGAGTACCGCATGTACGATATGTCAGACGGCTGGGGGTGGGACGCCATCCAAGCTGGCCTCGCACGTCGTAAGGGGGGCCCATGGGATATCGAGGACATCGATGTGGATGAGGTAAACCAGCGTTTTGTCACACTTCCTAATGGCATAGTAATGATCTTCAACCTCGACTGGTACGTCTGCGGCACATTAATAAATTTCCCTGGCTCAAGCTCACCCGACCTAGGTTCCGTGCGCTCAAGAGAGGTAACCACTCCGTTGGTGCAATCTACCTCACTGTCTGCAACAATCCCCGCTCGAAGCGGTTCCTACGTGAGGAGACGTTCCTTCTTGCGACAATACCTGGCCCCGATGAGCCTTCTCTGGAGCAGCTCAACCACGTCCTGGACATCTTTATCCCTGACCTTATAGAGCTATACAACGGTAAACATTATGGTCTTTACTGTGACCCTCGGAACATGGGTGTGCTGATATACATGACCGTGGCCACAGGCATTGACGTCTCCGTGCCAGGAGAGAATGACGCCGTTCCTGTGCACTGCCACTTGTACGCCAACGCGTCTGACCTCCCTGCCGCTCGGAAAGCCTCGGGTTTGCGTGGCCATACCTCAACATGGTTCATGTGCCCTGTATGTAAGCAGGCCATGCACTCCCTCACCCATCCGGATTGTTTCGATCCTGAGAGTACGTCCGTCAATGCGGCCTAGCCATTCGTAAACTAACCTCTATAATTTTATCCTAGTGTTCGAGTATCGTGACGAGCAGCGCTTCCTCAAGTATGCATTCCGCGCACGCGACGCTGATCCTGTGACGCGTGAGGAGATCGCCGAAGAGCGCGGGATTCGCTGGTCGGCATTGGATATCTTGCCCGGGTGGTCTCCAGTCAGCGACACCCCGCCAGACTTCATGCATGCAGCCTATTTAGGTGAGAATGCTTGCGCTCATGCTCCCACTTAATGGTCGTGATCAGCAGCTGATGTGTATCCCCAGGGGAGGCAAAGCATGTTGTCCAAGGTATCCTGACCGCAGGTGGCATGTTCACTAAACGAAAACGGCACGACAACCCCCTCAAGAAGTTCGAGGCATGGGTAGACGCCTGCTGGTGGCCGAGCAGCGCTGGCCGTGTACCTAAGGGCGTAAGCACAAATCCTTTGCATCCACGCACCGGTGCTCACCACAGTGCACATTTGGCAATAGCTAATCGCCGGTGGTACCGGAAAGGCGGACCAGTGGCGCAATATGGTCTCAATCTTACCAGTCGGTCTCTATGAGGCGTGGCAGGTTGATGGGGAGATCCCCGACTGCGACGCACCGCCGTTACGGGGTAAGCAGAAGGCTGCCATCAAGGCAAGGCGTATCGCTGCTCTAGTAAATGAGCGACGGCAGGCTGCCGCTGCATATGATCCTGGTATGACATCTGACGACCTCAAAGGCCTCGAGCAAGCTTCCATGGAGCGGAACTACCGTGCGCACACGGAGACGATCCTCGAGTGGGCCACCGCAATCCGGATTTGGGGCTCACAGTCTATCAGCGTCGCTGAAGCACACCGCGCGCAAACATGCCATAACCGCGCGTGCCAGGCGTGGGCGCAGATGGACTGCCACCTGACGCCATATTTCCACCTCATGACACATTTCAACATGTCGCTGCTGCGGTTTGGGCCTGTATATGGATGGTGGGCGTACACGTTCGAACGTTTCAACGGATGGCTATCCAAGATCAACCACAACGGGCACAAGGGCGGCGAGCTTGAGGCTACTATGATGCGGAGCTGGGTCAAGCTCCACCTCATCCATGACCTGGTCTGCGGTCTCGTTCATACCTCAGCGTCCCCATGGCTGACTTCACCACTAGATCCTCCAGCTCGATGCATTAGGGGACAACAGAACTGCCGAGGACGATGACAACATACGGGACCTCAAACGATGCCTTCAGGGCGAGAAGCGACCAAATCAAAGCCGTGGGACCCTCTTGTGCAACATTGCTGCCATGTCAGCGAAGGACAGTGGAGGTGCGCCACCTTGTGCCCGCTCATCATGCACAGCACTCACATGTCCTCGTCGCATCACGGCTAGGATTGACCGCTTTTCCCAAGCCTCAGGGGCGCAAGCGCAACCTTCGTGCCGAGGGGTTGTACATGCCCGTGTACCTGCACCTCCGGGACTGCTGGAAGGCGTTCATCAACCTCATCCCTGACACGTCATTCGCCGATGATGGATCACCTTTCATTGCACTAAATGTCCCCTTCTACACCCATGTAGTCATCGCAGGCCAGAAATACGGCGCATCCGCTACCCATCGAGGGTTGCGGAATCGCTATGCGTACATCGATGGCCGCCAAGCGGTTGACATCATCCATATCATGCGATGCAGTCACACCACAGAGGACGGCCAAACCCTGACAGCTGACCTTGCTGTTGTCAGGCCCTTCCTTCCGAGTCCCGCAGCCCCGAACTTACCATGGGCATCACGGTATGCCATCTCGAGTACTCTTCCGTATTTATGATGGCTCGCTCATCTGTGACAGCGCTATCGACCTCGGGATTGATGTGTGGAGGTACAAGAAGTACGGGAGCCCTCAGGTCATCGAAACACGTCGATTTAGCGGACATTTCGCGCTCAATCATATCACCTACAAGCAACGCAGATTGACTGTGACTATGTCGCTTTGCCACGTACGTTGTGCCTGCTATTACTGTACGAACTTGCTGAAAGTGATTCACTGCACACATGTAGGACTCGCAGGAGCCGGACCGTCCCATGTGAATCATTCGCGCACATTTCACACACCGGCCTGCGCACGGAGACAATGCGGCAAGATATTTGATTCATGACCCGTTTTAGTCCAGGTACTCGATCTCGTTGTCGTTGTCAGCCACGCTTTCCCCACGTCCTTCATCACGGTCCATGCCCTCGATCTCGGCCTCGTCCTCACCAGAACCAGCAAACCTCCCACTTCCCCCAAATACCCTCCCGTCCTCGCCGCTGCTGTCAGAGCTACTACCACCCACTTTGGCCTCGCCATCCTCGTCATCGTCCTCGCCGCCATCACCATCATCTCCACTGTGACCGTCCTCACCCGCGTTGCCACCAACGTCACCACCACCACTGTTGCCACCTTCACCATCACCTTCACTGTCGCCCTCGTCGTCCGATATCAAGGTGCGCTTGTCATATTTTGCTCCCCATTCCGAGCGTAGCCATCCAGGGTCGACCATGGAACGGGGGATCCGCTTGAACGACTTGCCTCTCAAGCTCGGTAGCTTGGTGTCCTTGTACGAGCGTGTCGGGCCGCGCCGACGGATCGTGTGAGTGTTTCCCCGGCCAGTCGCATCCTTCGCCTGTTGTGCAACCACTTCGGCGTCGACTTCGACTAACATGTTCCTGGCCTGCAGCAATGTGATGTGCTGGTAAGTATGCCAATTCGCATGCGGAATAGACGTCAACGGCAGGCTTACCGGCTCGCGGCGCCATGCAGGAGAACGCGACACCCAAACCTTGCGCGTCTTCGGCTGCGTCGGCACCTTCGGTTTCTTCACGCCGGCCTCGTTATCGGTGTCAGGATCGATGCCCTTAGTTTTGGGTGCCGCTGGAGGGGGTATGTACTCCTCATCTACCGACACGTCCGTCGACTGATAGTTCCACAAGAACTGATGGTCGAACTTGCGATGGCACGCAGCTGGGACACGGGAGCGCACTTTCTTACGACCGCGGACTTTCTATAGGAGACGTATGAGACGGTGGACTACTCGGTGAGTATCTCAGGCATACGCACCAGTTTCTTACGGTTCTTTATCTTCTGCAGCCGGTTGCGCTCTTTCTTCTTGGCCTCGCCATCGTCATCTTCTTGAAGCTTCCAGTTGCGGACCATACCTTTGAAAACGACTCGAATTGCGTCCTCGATCACATCGCGAGGCGTTTCGGCCAGACGCTCTGGGGATAGGGATGTCGAATAGCTGTGACCGTGAGTTTTGACACGGCTGACCGCGTAGAACGACCAGCCACGCTTGTTGTCTGACCAGGGCCGCTCCCAGTCAGGACGCAACAGGTGCTCCTCGATATGCGGCTCGCCTGGCTGCTCCGAGGGAGTGTATACAACTTCCCAGTACGTACCTCCCCCGAAGGCACGCGGGAGCTTCCCGTTCGTACTGATGCCCATCATGCTGTAGATACACTTCCGTACGCCATCCTTAGGATATCGCATGCGGTCAGTGAGCCGACCAATACTATGAGTGCGACATACTCACGTGTAGTGGATTATCACGGTCCTTTTCATCACCCGATGCGGCATCATCCTCAGCAGCTCCCGGTGTGGCACGCGGGCCACTAGCAACCACCAGGACGGCGTCAAATCGCCGTTCCATGTTGGTGAGACTCTCCTGTAGGCCCTCCACGGCACTCTCGAGTGTGTTGATCTTGACGATTACCTTTTCCAGTGTCTTGTCAAGCTCGCCAACGTTTTTGAGCGCCGTATTCACAGTCTTCTTGTAGCGCTCCATATCCGAATCGTGCGCCTTGACCGCAGCCCGTAAGCCGTCCATTTTGGAACGATGGTCGGCGAACTGATCAGCGAAGTGCTTTGTACTAGTCTTGCCTATCGTGATAGCAAGATCAGTCCCGCCATGCACACTCAGAGATCAAGTGGTCGTGCTTACTGCTGCCGCTGGCATCCTTGCCACCTTTCTCCGCCCCCGCGGTGCCTCCACGGTCATCAACATGCCGGGCTGGCTTGCTGCCCAGGGCGGCAATCATCGCCAGCTTACTCGGGCCCGGCGCCGAGCCTTGCGTTGACGTCTGTGAGTCCTTCGCTTTCCCCTTCGGCGCGTTCTGAATGAACGGGTGACGGTAGTTGGAGGGAGTGGCATGACGCGGCGTCTCTCTACCGGTGCTTGCCTGAACGAGGCTGTTGGTCGTGGACGCAGGCGAGGGGATGGAAAATCTCACCGGTGCAGGTACAGAGGTAAGTCTCGCCTTCTTGTGAGGCCGTTCGTCGGCCGGTGTCTGCTCTTGCGGTCCAGGGGAGCTCTCCACAGCGCGCGTTGACGCGAGCCCTTCTGTTACAGAACATTATCAAGCTTGAATGCCTCGCGCGACTTCGTGGGCTTACTGTCAGTCTTGCGCGGCCTCTTCGTCATTCTCAGGCGATTTTGTGCTGCGAGGGGCTTCAAGACCCTCTCTGAAGCTAGATGAGGGAGAGGGGACACGGAGAGCAGCGCGAGGAAAGAGGACAAGGACTTCCACAGGTGCGCGTCGCGCGAACTCCTCCCGCACGTCGTCTATCATGTTCTACGCCGCTAACTGACACGCGCGGACCTTTCACTCCGCAGGCACCACGCGGTACGACGACCGCTGCCCCTCTAGACTGCGGCATGGCGTGCGCCGACGCGAGGTTGACGGTCGGGGAGTCACTTGGCGGCTGCACCTGGCACGCCGGCTGCCTCTTTCGGTACGGGCATTGATGAGATAGAAGGGTTATTGACGTCGGAGCACATGTTCTCCGGTCCACTACATTACGTGCGGAATACGAGCCCCCCGCAGTACACCGCGTGCGATACAAAGAGGAGGAGAGGAGCGAGTGAGCAGCGCAGTGCCCGCCGGTTGGCGGGGCCCTTTTACCTTAGCGCTCGTATCAAACTCGGAACAATTGCAGAATAAACATAATGTTTCGATCATGTTTGGGACGTATTTGTGGGGCGCAAACATAATGCAATTGCGGTGCACATGTCCGTGTTTGATCTGTATTTGCTCGGAGTAATTGTACCGTGACGCCCAGTGAACGGCGCGCGGCCGCCCTGCTGCACATCCCAAATGTCTGTGTCGAACGTCCCGATCCGCCGGTAGGCCTTCCCGTTCACCGCCGTCGAGCCGTCCAGTTCGGGCTGGGTGAGTACGACCACAAGGCCGTGCATCGACTGATACTGCCCCCTCCTCTCTAGAAGCGGAACGAGCCATGCACTTTTTATCCCTCCATCGGCATCGTCGTCAACGAAGGCCATCATCCGCCGGTGGGTCTCCGACTTGTCCTCCTCTAGCACGCCGGTCTCGTCTTCTTCTACCAAAATCTCGTGCCACCCCCTCCGTCCAGGACGCCGTAGCTCGCATCGTACCAGTACCGCACGAAGGAGAAGGGACCCGCCCATAACTTGTCCAAATCGCAGCTCGGGGTCTTTGAGCACCACCTCGCAGCGGACGATCTCCGCCAGGACGGGTGTCTCCATAAAGGCGTGCCGCCGCCACATCAGCACCTCCCCGTCGACCGCGGCCCAGGACCACGACGGCGCCCGGTATGTGGCTACGCGGACGAGCCGTGTGCCAGGGGCCCTGTGCCAGAGGAGGTCCCACAAAAGCCGCACGCGCCACAGGCCAGCGAGGTAGTCCGAGCGCAGGACGCGCTGAAACGCCTCCGCAATCGCGCCGCACGCGACGAGCTTGTCGGATGGCTCGCCAACGGCGCGCAAGGCGTAGTCCTTCATGATATCGACCCACCGCCCGTGCACGTCGAACCATTCTTCGGAGCCGTGCTCTATCGGGGCCGCATCCGGGCGGAATAGCGCGTCGGGCAGCGTACGCTCCGCTGCGGTAGCGTGGGTGACGCAGATGACGTTTCCGACGCTCTGCGTAGTGGTCTGGCAGCGAAGCTGGAGTGTCTCCGACGTGAAGATGAGCGCGCGCGGGGACATGTAGAGCTCTTGCAGGCACCAGCCGCGCGCGCTGATCGGCTCTGCGTCGCGGTCGTAGTAGTTCAGCTCCGTCGAGCTGCTATCGTCCTGCGCGATCATTTGTGGGTGTATATGCACCTCGCCCACACGCCATCCAGAAGCGTCAGCCGTGGCGCCGTCGGCGCGGGCGGGAGGGCTACGGGGACATATGAATGGAAGAGCGATGTCGTGTGGCGAAGCTCGCCGAGCCTGAAGGAAACCGTCGCTGACTCTTCGGGCGCTGGCGGCAATGATGGTTAAGTGTGCGGAGCGGTAGATGCGATGCATGCGCCCGATTTCGTTCCGCTTGTCCTCGTCGGAATCCTGGATAATGCAAAGGCTGTCCGCCCAGAGGTACCGGAAGCCAAGTCCGTGCGTAACGCGGATCGCGTCCCGAATGGTCTGCGGGAGGACAGAGGGGTCGATGCCATTGGTGTAGGTAGAGATGTTGGTCGTGGTCGTGCGGTGGGGTTGCGCCTCGCCCCAAACGTAGCTGAGTACGAGGTAGCTACTGCGTTTGCCCTCCGTTGCGACCAGGCGTGGGGAACCGGGGTCGATGCAGTCGATTAGGCGCGTGGGAAGAAGAGGATCCTGATCGGCGGCTTTCTGGCAACGTTCATGTGTCTCTATGCACTCATCGATGTGTGCCTTTGCAAGGGAGAGGGACTGTATGGACCCGACGTCCAAGATAGGGCTTCGCGCGTTGATATACGGGGCAGCGGGATCGTCTTAAAATCTACGTGGTCAGTACCCCTCTGGGATGATGCGTATGCGAACCCACCTGCAGCTGCGTACAGATATCCATAGAATACTCCGTCGTGGCCACGGGCGGCTACTCGAAGCTCTTGAAGGTTCGCCGGCGTATAACGTGTGTGTGCGAAGCGATCTGGCGCTTTTCTCACCGTGATTTTGAGGGGGCCCTTCGCCTTCAATGATTTGCTCATGCGTGTTTCTACGTGTTTCGATTGGAATACGAGTAGGAACCCACACCACACGCAGCCCTCAGAGGAGCCGCATTCCAGCTGTGCGCGCGAGGTGGAGTAAGCGTACCCTTCGAGGGTCCGTTCTTTCGCACGGCCGAGAGGAGTCTTCTGGTCGAAGAGCCCGAGATGCGCGGCGAAGGGACCCTCCCAGCAAGTTTGGCAAACCGAGGATGGTTTGGGCGGCAACTTGCGTTTAGCGGTAGCGGGAGACTCCGGGGCTCGAGATTTCTTTGGCCCCATGGACAGTCAATGCGCGAAGGCTTGTGAGCTTCGGTACACCGGAAGGGAAAGGGAGGTGGAGGAGCGATATCGAGGATCGGATAGGAGTCGCGGGGAGGGACGCGTACGCTCAGAGCTCCGTTCCCATGGACAAGGCGAGTAAACATTGTCCACGTGTCGTAGAACCCGCTCGAGGCTATTCCACGAATGACATAGACAGTGCGGGGAAGGCTCCGGACGCATTATGGGGTGGCAGTGTGAGGTGAAGGATGAAGCGCTTGTCCAGTAGAACACTTCTGGATGAAGAATTAGGGCGATGCTGGGGCGATGTATCTGAGAATATCAGAGGAGGTGACATCTTGAAATCGCGGATCGGCAAGTCTCCCGGCGTGTAGATCAGAGTGCGAGGAATGTGGTGTAAAGATGACCCGGATGCGAATTTGAGCGGATCTAAGTACGCGTGCGAGTTGCAGAGCCTACTGCATGCAACGATCCTGCATTCAGTACACTAGAAAGTAGAACAGGCAACTGTGCTGCGAACGTACCAAGGGAGAGACTGGTGTATACCATTCGCCCGATGAAATAAACCGCACTTGAGGGTTCGAATTAGTTCATCTACGGGGGACAGATTTGATGAGTCGACGAGCGAGGTAGCGCACGCGCCCCACATACCAGTGATTGCACAGCTGTGCGACAGCAAGCTTCGTTCTCAGGACAACATGAACGATAATTACGCGTAGCGACGTACTTTCCGTGCATTTCACACCAGCTTGATCTCAGTTACTTGCAGCTCGCCGTCCAACCCGAGAGCCTGTACGACCGGTTCTATCATCCGGAAGATTCCGACCCTTCGATACGACGACTCCATCGCCTGCGGCAATCCCGAACCGTCCAGCGAGACACCACGGGAGACGACGAGCCCATCCACGTAATACGGTCCGTTTCGGAAGAGAGGGACAGCCCAAAGGCCGCGGATCCCTGCGTCATCTGGCTCGCTGTCGATGTAGCCCCGAGCAAAAAGAGCTGATTTCGCTTTTCCCCCAAGTACGCTCTCCTCGTCTAGCCGTCCAGGCGGGTCTTCGTGTTGATGAGCCATGAATCGAAGGCCGTCGTAGGGGCGGTCTTGCCCCCATTCGCATGGTACCAGTGCTGCGCTCAGGACGAGTGAACCTCCCGTCACCTGTCCAAAAGGCAGCGCTGCGTCCTCAAGCACGATCTCGCTGCTCACCACCTCCGCGACCGCTGCAGCCGGGGCAGCCCACTCTCCCACGTGCTTAGAAACTGCTCCGTCGACCGCCGCCCACGACCACGACGGTGCACGATACACCGCGGGGCGCGCAACGTTCGCGCTGGCAGGACGCTTGAACCACAGCAGGTCGTTGAGTTGCGTATCGCGCCACAGGCCTGCAAGGTACTCCGTGGACAGGACGCGCCCGAACTCGGCTGCAATCGCACCGCACGCAACGAGCTTGTCTGTGGGAGAGGTAATCGAGCGCTGCGTGTAGTCCACGACGACCTTCCACCACGCCGCGTGCAGCCTATGCCAGCGCTCGGAGCGGGGGCTGATGCGAGGCGGGGAGGAGAGGAGGAGCGTGGCGGGCAGGTTCGGTTCGTTGAACGGACGGTGAAGGGCGCCGCCGACGTTTTGCGTCATGGTCGGACACTTGAGCTGGAGTGTGTGCGAGGCGAAGAGGAGGGTGCGCGGGGACATGAGGTACTCCTGCATGCACCAGCCACGTGCGCTGATGGGCTCCGAGGCGAGGTTGTAGTGCGATGGCGGGTGCGGGAATATAATCTCTGTGCTGATGAAAGTAGGAGTGACGTATACCCGTCCTAGCTGAGGCGGGCCACCTACAAGCACAGGGGGACAAACGAAGGGAAGGACGACGTCACGCACGGCAGCGTCCGGTCGATCCTGCAGGAAGCCCTCGCTGACCTTCCGCGCGTCGGATGCGATGATGGTGAGGTGCGCATCGCGGTAGATGCGATGCATGCGAGCGAGCTCGCGCCGCTTGTCCTGGCCCGAGTCCTGTATTATGCACAGCGTGTCCGCCCACAGATATTGCATCCCGAGCTCGTGCGTGACGTAGATCGCGTCGCGGATAGTCTGCGGTAGGTTCGCAGGATTGATCCCCGCAGTGTAGACGTGCACGTTGGAGGTGAGAGTGCTGTGTGGTTGCGGCTCGCCCCAGACGTAGCTGAGCGCGCAGTACTTGCCGCGTAGGCCGTCCGTCGGGGCGAGACGCGGACGGCTG